ATAAGCTGTTTGCTTGCATAGGCACCTTTAGATACCATCGCCAACTATCAGCTGTCTGCTGGATCAAGTTGTCGCCAAAATCTCCCAAGAACTGCACGCATCAACATATTGTGAAGCAGTATACTATGAAGGAGTGAGGAAATTACAATAAACCGAATAAAAATACTTAAGACTTGGCCTAAAGGTCTAGATACCGGGCCATAAACTCCAAAAAAAAAAAGAGACACGAAACGCCAATTTTACACAATACTTATATTAACACTTGGGTAAATTTAAAAAAAATATTGGAGACATCTACGACTGTTAATGCTCATCACCTGCGGAGTTTAGAAACGGAAAAACAATATTGGCGCGACGTGTTGGAAAGAATTATTGCGATTGTTAAGTATTTATCTACACAATGCTTGGCATTTCAAGGTTCTTCGTAATTACTTTTCGAGCATGATAATGGAAATTTTCTAAAAGCTGTTGAAGTGATTGCCTGTTTTGATTCAGTGATGAGACAGCACGTTAGCCGAGTGTGTAACTCCCAAGCAAAATGTGTTAAAATTCTCATTTAGGCGTGCAAATACAGAATGAAATAATTGAATTAGTGTCGTCTAAAGTAAGAAATAATATTTTAGAAATGGTTTGCAGTTCAAGATATTTGTTAATAATATTAGATTATACACCAGACACTACTCATACTGAGCAAATTAGTCTTGTTCTGAGGTATATTGTTCTTAACACAACTTCAAAAAAGGTTGAAGTTAAGGAAAGTTTTATTGCGTTTAATCCAATACTAGACTCTACAGGGAAAGGTTTTTTAAAAATTAAAAAAAAGTTAAATTTAGATACAAAAAATATTAGGGGACAAGGTTTTGATAATGGGGCAAACATGAAGGGACAGCATGTTGGGCTTCAAAAACGTATTCTTGACGCGAATCCGAAAGCCCTTTTTGTACCTTGTGCGGCTCATACTTTGAACCAAGGAGATTGCAAAATATAGGGAGTGCGCACTTCATACTAGAGAAACGTTTCTAAATCAGTGACCTTGAAATGAATGAAAGGCACTGAGTTAAGCGTTCCATTTCTTTCTAATAGTGTCCATGATACAATATTTTGAGGATATTAATAGTATATACAGCATTACGGAAAACGAAATGCGTATTTTTTTTTTCAATATGGAAAGTGCTGAATAGTATTATAATTAAACTCCGTTTAATATTTTGATTACATGATTGTTCGATACAGTATCAAACCTTACGGTAACTAGTGGCGGCGTAGCGTGGGTTGACACCCAGGGCGGTTTTCTATCAAGCACCCCCCAAAATAAAACAAAAAATACTATACATGCTAACGGGACTTTATTTTGCTAAAATATTCTAATATATTATCAAAGTTTACTTTTTAGTCATTTTCGATAGTTAAAATGGAAAGATTGGTTAGTCCCACTTGGCTCATTGTGGACGTTAAGTTAGATTTTAATAACTTGAGTTTTGAAAAGCTTCCTTCACATGAAAGTTAATAGTAAAAAAAATCTTTGACACAGCGCTAGATTCGGAACAGATTCAGAATAGCCCAATTTTACGAGAAAAGCTCCAATGAGTTACATCGAACCGCTTCTTGGGAAGAAATGCTGGCAGCTTTCAAGTCATAAAGTCTCCAAAGTTATATATCCTGCAGAAAAATCGTCATAGATTTTTGTCAGATTTTGAACTATTATACGAAGATCTTCATCTGGTGACGTTAGCAGAGTGTAAGTCTGAACAACACTAAATGTTACGAGAATATCATCCATTGCTCTGTAACGATGGTCTAATTCCTCGTAAAATCTATCAAGACATTCTAACATAGCTCTCTGCAGCTCCTCTGGCAATGTTAGTCCAGCATATCGGGTCATTTTTCCTGGTAAACGTTTTCGAAATCTCCTCATTCCTTTTCTTCCTTCAATCGAAATGTCCACATTCTCACATTTTTGTTACGTAGGAAACAATTTTTCCACTAGTTGAATACGTTGGCTTTGAAGAAATATTTTTGGACTTTTGATTGGGATCACATACTTTTCCAGTGAAAATCTAGATTATTATTTTATTATTTAGTATTTACTTTTGTGTCTGACTAACTTCTTTTAGGATTTTACACCAAAAGGAAAGATAGCATAAAAAACTGCAGTCACACAAAGCTGGTAAGAGTGTAGATGCTGCTTCTCTTGTATCGACGTTTTTTCATCATATATATCCTTGAGTGTTTATACTAGTTTTTTTAAATTATTCTGCAGAGGTTTAACAGCGTCATGATGAGCAATCCATCTTGTCTCTGAGAGTCTTTTGATGGATATGCCTACACTTTTCATTAAAGTTTCATCATAAAAAAAGTTAAACGTTAAAAAAAGTTCCGGAATAAAGTTAAACTTGAATTAACGCTCCCTAAGTGAGTGCACTCCACATAGATTTAGCGAATGATTATAGCACAAGGCATTTTCTACGTGGTAGAGCCATGCTGCAGCTATATTAGTAGTATAGTTGTAGCACAAATGGGTCGGCTCGACCGGAGAAGGACCACGTACTCACAGAATACCAGCGTAAAATAGCAGCTCAACACTGATGTGTTTCGTATGGTGAGTGTAGAGAACCGGAGACCCTTTTTACTGGAAAAAAAGGCATTCCATCTTATTCCTCACGGGTGACAACACATCTGCATTTTGATTCGCAAACGAGGATAGATGTAAATGTCTATGGGCCACAGTATCCACTTACCATCCGGTGGACTGTGTGCTCGTTTGTCACCCTATCCTATTATAAAAAAAACAATATATTCATTCATTTGACAACGTCAAATTTTAAAATAGTGTTTTCATCTATAGCGTAAAATGCACCTCCTAGTTTTTAGGGAAAGAACATTCGTGTTTTAGTGTTTTTTTTTTCGTGTTACTTAATAATATGTTTAACTGAAATACAATATGGAATATCCCAACTATGATTAGCGATAAAAATGTAAGATATGCTTTAAAATGGGTGTGAACAAGAATTTAATTTATTTTGTTATTATTTTATTCTGTTTGTTTCATTTTGATATTTTAGTCTACAAATAAATACTACTTCTAAACTTGAGTTTTTTTGCTTTATTTCAACCACCTAACTGCCCACCTACCTTCAAAAAAAAAAATAAAAAAAAATGATCCAAAATGCCTTAAGGGGCGCCAAAATCCTTTTTTGCACACAGGCGCCAGTAGCCCTTACGGGGGCCCTGGATTACGTCATGCACGTGTCACGTACTTTGTTTGTTTCAATAGGGAAATTAAGCGGAAGCAACATCGAGAAAGTCCGCCTTTTTATATGATAAGGGAAACGAGTTAACAGTTCTCATGATGGTAAAAGATTTTGTAGCCCATATAGATATACCTACATCTATCCTCGATTAAGAATCAAAATGCAGATGCATTGTCACCCCCGAGGACTAACTAAGATGCGATGCCTGGTTTCCAAGCAACGGGTCTCCGGTTCTCTACACTCACCATATGATACACAATATCATTAAGCTGCTATTTCACGCTGGTCGTATGTGAGAGCGTGGTCCTTACCCGGCCAATCCATTCGTGCCTTAATTAACTTACCTTAATTTAGCTGCAGTATGGCCTACCACGTATGTATAAGAGTAAATCCATATATACTTTAGCTATATTAGTCATCAATATATGTAATATGTCTCTCGGAGCTGAATGCCCGTGGTCGTTTCTCAGTTCCACTGGAAACTGAGGGTAAGACTAAGACACATTCAGTTTTGGTCCTCAGCAGTTCCTTGCCCGCACTCTTATCTGCAGAGTCCACTAACCACCACCCGTCATGGTATAGGCATGTACCCGGTGTCACGGACAGGCACCTCAAGTATATAAACAAATTTATGTTTAAACATAGATTTTAAAGACCTTTTTTGTACCTACTAATAAATTATGGACTGTGTGGTGTGCAATAAAAATGTTATTTTTTATTTACCACGTGTTCTATGGTAAAAGATAACATCGTGAGACAGCTTGCATGCATAAGAAATTATAAATGTTTCAAGGGCATGTGAAGGTGAAGTTCGCCAAAACGCAATCTCAAGTCTCGCATTAAGGAGAAATGAGAGGAGGCCTTTGCTTTCTCTATGATATATTGATTTATAAGTATGTGTGAGCTTACTTTAATTCATCAATTTTTTATCAGATTGATTGTTTTCTTTTCAAATTTAGCATCTGCAGTAGGTCTTTCAAGTAGAAAAAAGATTGTTGTAATTAATTAAAAGAAATTTTGTTTCTTTCATACAAAATTTAGTTAATTATTGTACGATGTCTTTGTTGTTTTGATATTACAGACACTTGAATTTTATTTATATTTATAGATGTATAGATTATAACAAGGCAAACATGTTGCTGCATCTGCATCTGCTCGATGAAGTCCACAGCTGTTCATGGACTTCTCCTGTTAAAGAGGATTTGCCTTAAAAGCCACGTTTGGCAGGCGGATTGGAGATCTCAGTACCAGACGTCTCGCACCTTCAACGCTGCTTCCTGTCACCTGGCTGGGCATTTTACGACGGACGGTATAAAGGTCTTTATAATACCAGACCCATATTAATAATACTGCTATCCATCGATTTTTGCTCTGTGCCACCACCTATCGGGTAACCATAAGACTTTTCTGGCATTTCCTAGTTCCCAGTCTCCCCATACGACACTAATGGGGTGAAACGGGTAATGGAATGCTTTGAATTCTCAAAAAAATTTAAATATCCTACAATAAAGATGAAATGCCGAGAAAAAGATATTTATTTGTTCTATTCGACCTACATATGCCTCGTAGATTATGATACATTGTCATGAGTTCATGGGACGAAGTGGAGTAGTAGATTACAGACTGATGATCTATATGACGATTAAATAAAACACTAATTATGTAAAAGGCAACTATTTTATTTACTTAAATTTATATTTGCAAAATATACATCGTAGTTTTTTGGTACAGGCCCATATTATAAACAAGTTAAAATTTTGTTTGAGCAGTAAAACGAGCGTATTCTTTGAGTCTTATTGCATTGATGTTAATAAACCCGGTGCTATCTTCGGGAGAAAATCCTCCAGCGACGTCCATAGACACTAAGTCTTTGTTGTATAAACTTGTAAAACTTTTTCTGGATAATATTGTCACTAAAAGCATAATATTATATGGGGTGTAAACCAAATCAGTTTGTTATTGTGCAAGTAGTTGATACTGTTGCAAAATTAAAAGGATTTAAATGCGTAAATCATCTATCTATGATTGGTAATTTAAAATACTGATCATGATCAAAATTTGAAAAAAGAAAGAAAGAAATTGAAGGAAGCATTGAAAAAGAAATTGTGCAAATGGATCACCAGTTTCCTTGCTGATCGAAGCATCAAGGTCGTAGTAGACGGTGCATGCTCTGATTTCAAGCCTATCAACGCTGGTGTCCCACAAGGCTGCGTGCTATCACCAACGCTGTTTCTCCTGCATGTCAATGATATGTTGCAAACTGGTAACATTCATTGCTATGCAGACGACAGCACTGGTGATGCCTTATATACCGGCCGTGCCAATATTTCTCGGGAAAACGTCGCCGAGTACCGGGACAAACTTGTGTCTGAAGTCGAGTCTTTGCTGAACAAAGTCTCGGATTGGGGGCGACTAAATCTAGTCCAATTCAATCCCCAGAAGACACAAGTTTGCGCGTTTACCGCTAAAAAGAACCCCTTTGTCGTATCTCCTCAGTTTCAAGGCACTCCCCTTGCTGCCTCAGCTAGCATCGGAATCCTCGGCGTCGACATATCGAATAGTGTGCAGTTTCGTGGTCACTTGGAAGGGAAGGTCAGATTGGCCTCTAAAAAGTTTGGCGTGCTCAGCAGAGCGAGACAGTATTTCATGCCGGCAAATCGCTTTAACTTTACAAAGCGTAAGTCCGGCCTCACATGGAATACTGTTCTCATCTCTGGGCCGGGGCACCCCTGTGCCAGCTCCTTCCACTTAACCGTATCCAGCGCAGTGCGGTTCGAATCGACGACCACCGAGTTTTTTTTCTGATCGGCTCGATACACTGACACTGCGTAGGGATGTTGCATCCCTTTGCATTTTCTATCGCATCTACCACGGGGAGTGCTCTGAGCAATTGTTCGGATTAATTCCAGCCGCTAAATTTCACGAACGCACATCGCGTCGAAATTCACGATACCATCCTCACCATCTGGATGCTTGGCGGTCCACGACTGTGCGTTTTACTAGGAGTTTTCTTCCTCGTACAACTTCTCTGTGGAATTGTTTACCACCGGCGATTTTTCCGGACCAATACGACTTAGGGACCCTAAAGAAAAGAGCTTACACCTTTCTGAAAGGCCGGCAACGCACCTGCAATTCCCCTGGTGTTGCGGTTGTTCATGGGCGGCGGTAGTCACTTACCATCAGGTGAGGCGCATGTTCGTTTGCCCCCTCTTCTATAGAAAAAAAGTTTATTATTTACTACGTTATAATGAGAATATATGTAATTGAACTTAACCGGAAGTGGCAAATCTCGTATAAAATGTAAGGCTTATAGAAGTATAGCACTTTTTTACTAGGATTAGATAAATTCCAACTTTACAACCCTTCACAAGTCTTGCAGCAGTAGACTTGTGAAAGGTTGTAAAGTTGAAATTTAAAAGTATAGGCCTCCTCCAAGGATACAAAGCACGGTCCTGAGCCACATGTATTCGTCTCGTCTTACCAGGTCGTCACTCCATCTAGTGGGAGAATGCCTACTCTTCGTCTCCCGGTACGAGGTTGCCACTCGAGAACCTTCCTTCCTCATCGGTTGCCGGTTCTTCGAGCTATATGACCGTTAAATCCGTTAAATAATCCGTTGTGCTATGTCAGTTACTCTGGTCCTACTACGGATATCCTCATTTTTAAGTCTATCACGCAGAAAAACTCTGAGCATAGCCCTTTCCATAGTTTGCTGAGCGACCTTGAGCTTTCTCATGCGGCCAGCAGTAGAGGACCACGTCTCAGATCCATAAGTCATCACTAGCAACACGAACTGGTTGTAATTGTAAAACCATATGAATTTGATACAATTAAAATTTATAAATAGGTATAAACATAAGAAGTATTTTAATGGTCTTTAGTCCTAAAATTCTAGACTTATCACTAAAACTCGTTTTGTGAATATCTTTTTTTCTTTTTATATATTACCTATTAAAAAAACGTTACGTCCACACTGGGATTTTCTCCTGTATCGCGGGGGCAGTTACATACATAGATTTCACAAGGACAAACAACCAGACCCAGAACAATTATTTGTAGGCCATACAAATACTTGTTCCGTGCAGGATTCGAACCCGCAGCTCTTAACGCTGCAACTCATTGCGAAGTCACTGCGCCACGAAGCCGTTATATCGTAAATGAAATAACAAAACTAATGTAGTAACATCCGATATATGTGAGATCACTAATGTTCATCCATATATTGGATGTTATTCTATACATTCCATACATTATATCCAACATCAAGGGTTGCTACAATACATGCTCCAGTGCCACCTGCATACATCTACTTCCTGCATGTGTTAGACGGTCGCCACTCCATGTAGGAGCGAGGGGGCAGTCTACACTTCACTTAGATTAGGTACAGATACTAGGCTGCCACTAGAGCTTTCTTCCTTATCGGCTGTCTAGTTAGGCTATATATTAGGTTAGGCTCAATATACATTGCGGCGGAATGGAATGGAACGAAAGCGTCAATTTCGCCTCGTCGCGCGAATTACACAATTAACATAAAATTCATTTTACTATGTACAACTTCGTTACAAAAATTCACTTCCATTCCGTTCCGCGGCAATGTAAATTGAGACACTGTATAACACGAAGGAAATATCCATACTGGTGAGGAATATTTATTTTTAACCGACGTGAAATAGGAGGAGGTTCTCAATTCGAGTGTATTTTTTTTGTATGTATGTTACGCGAAGTCTTCGCACCACCATATTCGTCTAGATAGTTGATATTTTACCAATGTATATTCGTCTGTCTCCAGTACGTAGATAATATATCATATATTATTTAATGGCTATGGTCAGTAGGGTGCACAATTTAGATAGGTTGTCATTGGGGAAAATATCTCCCTCTCTTTTTTTCTTTTTCATCAGCTGGGATAAGGCAATGCTGGATATGGGTCTCTACCGTCGTAGGGAGGATTTGCCTTAATCTTCTCGCTGGATAGGTGACAGGTATTGGTATGTTTGACGTAACTGGACGCTATTGCCCAACAGACCTGGGTGTTTTACGCCTGACAAAAATGAAATAGTTATAACGCCATCTATCGGACGCTGTAAAATTTTCCTGGCTTTCCCAAAGTCGCCTCCTACGACACTTAGGCCGGCCACATACATACGGATTTCCGTTTCGGGATTCCGTTTCGGAATTCCGAACGCAGTAAGTCCATATAAAATCTATGACCCGTCACACACGTACGGTAGTTTTCCGTTCGAAATTTTGCGGGTTAAACGGGATTCCGTATGTGTGTGGCCGACCCGGGACTAAGGCTTAGGCCGGCCACATGCATACGGAATTCCGTTTCGTGATTCCGATTCGGAATTCCGAACGGGTCGGCCACACACATACGGAATCCCGTTTAACCCGCAAAATTTCGAACGGAAAACTACCGTACGTGTGTGGCGGGTCATTGATTTTATATGAACTTGCTGCGTTCGGAACCTCGAATCGGAATATCGAAACGGAATCCCGAAACGGAATTCCGTATGTATGTGGCGGGCCTAAATGGGGTGAATAGATCCACATACGCCGTCACCACACGGCAACACTCACATTTACACATTAGTTTAATTTATGTTAGTAAGTATCTTACCATTTCCTTTGTAGATTTGAACCGTAACCGTACCATTGACTGTTTCTTGGGATAATTCCAGACATTTCCTGGTATATACCGCTTCCGGCGAAAACCAAAACCCGTTGTATACGAAATCGGACATTTTATCTTGCAGATATTTTTTAATCCTAAAATAAAGTAACAAATTTCAGGCTGTAGAATAAAAGTCATAAATGACCATCACTATCCGATTACCTTCGTTGTATTTTTTTTAGAATGAGGGTGACGAATATTAAATAAAAATGTTAACGAATTGCGGATTCGAACTCACGACTTTTTAGTGGTCAGAAGCCAATAGCCATCAGACTATTGCTAAATATACCCTTCATCATCATCATTACAGCCTTTCATAAGTCCACTGCTGAACATAGGCCTCCCCCAAGGAATGCCACAAAGCACGGTCCTGAGCCACCTGCATCCATCGACTTCCTCATGCCTTACCAGGTCGTCACTCCATCTCGTGGGGGGTCGCCCTACACTTCGACTACCGGTACGAGGCTGCCACTCGAGAACCTTTCTTCCCCATCGGTTGTCGGTTCTTCGAGCTATATGGCCGGCCCACTGCCACTTCAGCTTACTAATCCATTGGGCTATGTCGGTTACTCTAGTTCTACTGCGGATATCCTCATTTCTAAGTTAATCACACAGAGAAACTCCGAGCATAGCCCTCTTCCATTGCTCGCTGAGCGACCTTGAGCTTCCTCATACGGCCAGCTGTGAAGGACCACGTCTCAGTTCCGTAAGTCATCACTGGCAACACGCACTGGTTGTACAATTTCGTTTTAAGGTTTTGAGGTATGTCTGACGAGAAAATGTGTCATAGCTTCCCGAACGCTGCCCAGCCGAGTTGAATCCGTCGATTGACCTCTCGGTCGAAGTTGGACTTACCTAGTCGGACTATTTGTCCCAGGTAAACATACTCGTCAACAACTTCGAGCTTAGTGCTTCCAACAACTACCGGCATAGGTGTGACATGGACTTTAAACATAATCTTTGTTTTGTCCATGCTCATCTTAAGACCTATCCGTTGGGAGACACTATTAAGGTCATTGAGCATAGTGCTTAGGTCCTCCAGCGATTCTGCCATAAGGACTATATCGTCAGCAAATCGAAGGTGAGTGATGTACTCGCCATTGATGTTGATACCGTATCCTTTCCAGTCCAGAAGCTTGAAAACGTCTTCCAATGCAGCGGTGAAGAGTTTCGGGGATATGACGTTACCCTGTCTTACACCTCTCTGCAATTGGATAGGTTTCGTACTCTGGTTCTGTACTCGGATAGCCATCGTAGCTCTACTGTACAAATACTTCAACACTTCGATATACCGACAGTCAACTTGGCACCTCTGAAAGGACTGCAGCACCGCCCAAATTTCGACGGAATCAAAGGCTTTCTCATAGTCCACATACGCCAGACATAGTGGCAAATTGTACTCTTCGGACTTCTGTACAATTTGTCGAAGGGTATGTATGTGGTCTATGGTGCTAAAGCCCTTTCGGAAACCGGCTTGTTCGGGAGGCTGGAAGTCGTCAAGTCTGCGCGCGAAACGATTCGTAATGACTCTCGAAAACAGCACGTAGACGCGGCTCAGAAGGGAAATCGGTCTGTAGTTCTTCAAGAGAGCGTTGTCACCTTTCTTGAAGAACAAGACCACCGCACTTCTGCTCCACGCCTCCGGTGTAATGCCACCATGGAGGACGGAATTAAAGAGCTTCTGAAGGACTTCAAGTACCGGTCTTCCACCCGCTTTCAGAAGCTCCGCTGTAATTTCATCCTCGCCTGGGGCGTTACCGTTTTTAAGGTGCTGGAGAGCCATTCTAATCTCGCTCAGACTGACGTCCGGGATATCTTCGGAATAGTGTCGGATGAGACTCGCTCTGGGATCGTTACTCACACTTGCGTGTGGCTCCAACAATGACGTGTACAGCTGCCCATAGAACCTCTCAATCTCACTCAAAATCTCAGGTGTGCCGGAAACGATGCTGCCACATTCTGTCTTCAGCTTTGACAGTTGGCTCTTTCTGGCAGACAGATCTCTGGCAAAGACTTTGGAGCCTTGGTTCCGCTCGATCGCTTCTTCAATACGAGCTGTATTGAAGTTGCGTAAGTCCCGCCGCATGCATTTGGAGATCTGTCTGTTCAGATGCCTGTATGCTGTCAAGTCTGTTGAAGAATGTAGCTTCATCTCCCGTCTAACAGCCATGAGATTAAGAGTGTGATCGGAGAGCTTTTGTGTTCTTCTGCGGCGGGTCTTGCAGAACTTAGCTCCGACCGCATGGACAGTTTCCACGAGCTTGTCATTCATATCGTCCACTTCATTGCAGTCTTCTAGGCACTGAAAATGGTTTTGTAACTCGAGCTGAAAGGTTTCGGGACTTTGGAACAGAGCACGAGGGGGACGGAGCGTTGACTTCATTAGACGAGACCTCTCCAACTTAACGTTTAGGTTCAGTGTGCCTCTAACCATTCGGTGATCGCTACCAGTTTTCACCCTCGCGATCACGGAGACATCACTGAACAGTTGTCGTCTGGTCGTCATAATGAAGTCAATCTCATTTTTTGTCGAACCGTCGGGGCTCGACCAGGTCCACTTCCTGTGAGGCCGCTTCTGGAAGAAAGAGTTCAACATAAAGAGTCCCTCTTTCTCCATGAAGTCAGCCAGCTGTGGCCCCTTGGGTTCCGTTGCCCTATTCCAAATTTCCCTACTTTCAGCTCACCGTTCTCTCTTGTGCCTAGTTTTGCATTGAAGTCTCCCATTAAGACCGTATATTGGGTTTTGGAGGAATGCATGGCTCTAGAGATATCCTCATACATTTCCTCCACCTCATCATCGGGGTGTGCCAAGGTTAGTGCGTAAACCTGTATGACCTTCAGCGAATACCGTTTGGTGATTCTGAGTATAAGGTACGCAACCCTCGTCGACACACTCCCGATCTTTACAACGTTGTTAACGAGAGACTTGTGGACGTTAAATCCGACACCTCCTTGGGACAGATGGTCGCCCTCCCGGTGATTGAGCAAGTTGCCGGATTCGAGGATTACCGTGTCCTCCCCCTCTCTTCGGACTTCGGATAATCCTATAATATGCCAGTTAGTTCCTATAATTGCCAAATAGTAATGTTTTGTATGATGATTGAAAAAAATCAGACTCATTTAACTGATGAACGAGGCAACCCATAATAGTCGTCGTGGGTTACTACTGTTGCGCCGATCTTACAAGCTTACAACGTACCTGAATTTCTCAACTCAATTGAATAATAAATGTAGGGGTTAGTAAGTGATGGAACAATTATCGATTAGCGATTACGATTACGATTATTTGTTAAATAAAACATACGGACTATTATTGATAAATAAGCATTATAATATTCATTATCATAAACTAATTTAATAATTTTTGCTGAGATAATAATCAAAAAGAATTTTTAAATTTTTGTTAACAAAACACCAATTATAGCTTTTTAGGGGTCAATCTGTTCCGTTTTTCAGTTTGAATCAATCCAACAGTGGAGAATAACATCTCCGACGCTACAGACTACAGACGATGTGGTTTGTTATATAAAAAGAAATATTTTGTATTTTTTTGCTTACTTTTTTTTTAAATTTTGAATTGAAATAAATTCCTTAGACAATAAGCCATAATTAATCGCTAGATAATCCCAATGATAAAATCGACACATACGATTAATCGTGAAAAATCGATAAGTCGTTTCATCACTAGTTAATAGACTACAGCAGCCACTTACTATCAGGTAAAATGTGTCTGTCACATTTATAAACCTCTTCCATAGATTACCAAGCTCATATAGCCGCCACGCTTGGCAGGCGGTTTGTTATTAGGAAGACGCTGCTGCCTACGTTCTGGTTTGTTTTGACTGACACATCTTACGACACCGACGGTGCTATATGGTAATGGATATTCTTATACCGCCCAGAGTAAGTCTTAGTTTCACGGAGTCTGCCACGTAAAGCCGCGTCTCCACCAAAGTTTTGTTGCCAACACAACAGTTGCCAACAAAACTTGTTTCCATTTTCGGCGGCAACATCAAAGGAATACGCTTGTTGCCAACATTTGTTCCCTCGGTGGAGACGCTTGTTGGAAACATAAGTGTTGTCAACATTTTTGGTGGATACGCGGCTTTACGTTGATATTGCGTTATATTTTTTATAACTTTTGCGTCTACTTTACCTTAGCACTTCTCTATCCAAAGCAAAAGCCTCAAGGTCAAGGTGAGCGACGTGGAGAATAGTGCCTGCTGGAGTTTCGTAGAGACCTCTGGACTAAAGGCAGAAAATATAAGATATATTTCAAATGGTTGTTATTATATTAATATATAAAAATGTGATTTTTGTTTTACTTACTTTGAGACCTAGAAAACGATTTTCAACTATGTCGATCCGTCCTACACCATGCTGTCCGCCAAGTTTGTTTAATGTCTGTACGATAGCTAATGAATCCGATAAAGTCATTGACTTGTCATGACCGCTCGGGATAATGATAGACACAGGTAACCCTATGCATATTAATTCAATTAGAATAAATATTTTTTATATGGTAAATACATAAGTAATGCGCTTATACAAGTTGTCCCAGAAATCGACGTCAAGAAGGTGATAAGCGAAGTCATGATAGTTATCAGAAAAATAAAATAAAAAATGTAAGTTACGTACTTTTAAAAATAATTAAATAAATCACCAAATCACTACGTTATAGCAGTCATATTTATAGTTATATTATTTTTTACTTATAAAAACGTTATCTACCTTCACACAGAATTTTCTCCTGTATCGCGGGGCAGTTTACATACATAGATTTCACAAGGACAAACATCCAGACCCAGAACAATTATTTGCAGGCCATACAAAATACTTGTTACGTGCGGGATTCGAACTCGCGGCCCTTAGCGCTGCAACTCATTACTAAGCCACTGCGCTACGGAGCCGTCATCGCTCATAATATTCGCTGTGACTTTTAGCCACTTCCATATATTATTCTTATATAGATATTGGAGACTTCTTAACGTGTAGAAAATATTGTAGTTGTAGTAATTCGTAGATAATTCCAATCTTCAATTTATCTCGTGTAGGAAATATTGTGGTAGCGGCGTAAGGGAATCTACTATCCTATATCATTCTGTGGGTGTCGTAAGATATGAAAGTGGAAAATAAGCAGGAGATGGGTAACACTATCTTCCTGGTAACAACTTAAAATGATAAAAAAAGAAAACGAAAGCCCACCAGGCAAGAGCCAGGCACCACTATTTCAAATACGGAGGATATTTGAGGCTAAGGGGGAGGCCTATGTACCACACGGGACTCTTGACGTAGTGATAGTGATCAATGTGTTTTTCTTGTTAGGCAGTTTAAAATAGTAATATTATTAATAAAATACCACACCTCTTTTAAAAACAATGTCAATTTTACTGGGGTAGTCCTCGGTCAAGTGAAGATCACGTGTCATTTTATATATTCCACTTGGGGCAGCTGCACCAGGGTCTTCAAGAATACCAGATTCGTAGCTATAAAAGGAACAATAAGGGCCATAATAATAAGCGGATCTGCAGACAATTAGACCACAAGCTTTCTACGACAGAACTTTATAAGGATAGCTACCTACTTATTTGCAAAAAGGAAAAAGAAATGGTTTATTCATAATCATAACCACAACACTATATACTATGTAGCAAGAACAATACACACTCATATAATAACAAATTTTTAATATAATGGGATGGGTTGCCAACGAAAAAGCATTCGAATCAGCATAAATGTACCATTCCGTAGCCGACCGCAGACAGCAGAAGCAGGCGACGTGTCGTCGCGAAACTACTGGTTTCTATGTAGTTCTATGAAATACCTTCCGTAGCTAGCGACACGTCGTTTGCCGGAGCGGCAGACGACATGTCGCCCGACCACAGATCGGTAGTGCCGCCAACGCCCGAGCAGTCGGGCTTGGAATCATGACTGCGTCGCGACGACACGTCGCCTGCTGTTGCTGTCTGCGGTCGGCTACGGAATTGTACCTTAAAGCTGTAACAGTGATGTCGCAACCATCGCGGTACTATTCTGTCGACTGTCGGTGCCTCTAATTTAAAACACAACTCAAAAACAAACCTTATATGCATAATATTCTCGTCGGTTGACCACGGCTCTTTAGGTGTGGCAGCAACAGGGATGTTTTCACATTTTGCGAATTCTATCAAGTCACTTCGACCTTGGAATCGTTCAAAGAATTCTGGAAGTCGCCATGGTGCTATTATCTGTAGAGGATATGTTTATGCAATAAAACAAAATTAATCGGAGTTTATGAAATTTTATGATCATAAAAACGAGAATAACGATACAATATGAATATCTTCAATATTCGACTTAATTTTAATCTGGATAAATCTGTAAAACAGCTTTCATTAAATACGCATTTGGATAATTATTCTAAAATAATAAAAAATCATATTCGTTTTTTTCTTTTTCTAAAGGCTACCTACGTAAGAGGCGACAGACTATTAAGGAAAATTTAACAAAAGCGTTGAAACCAAATTTTACTGACTGGTGAGGGAGCGCAGAATTGCTAATAAAGTAAAGCCTAGCGATAAGATCGAAGGAAGGTTTGGATACAGTGTAAAAGACACGAGACGAAAATAATCACAATACTCCCTAATCCGAAAACCAACAAATTTTATCTTTGCAAGGACGTTAGCGGTGACTGAGAATCGAAACCGGCAGTGTAGTAGCCAGGAAACTTAGTGGTCTAAGCAGTAATTGTAATATAAAATATTTAGTATAGTTATAAAACTGAAAAAAAAAATAGCAGAGTACAAAAAAAATAAAAAAAATCATTTATCACCTTGCCTTCAGGCCATAAGGAGTATAAACTTAGCTCAAATCGGACTTGGTCGTTTCCTTTACCAGTAGCTCCGTGTGAAATATACCTAAACAAAAAAATATGGAAAGAAATTTAAGTGCAATTTAGTAAATAATTGTAATAAGTAATTTATAAGTTTAATTCACATACTTGGCACTGAGTTTTTTAGCCGCATTGACAATTCCAACGGATATGCACGGCCGCGCTAAAGAGGTGCCTAGGTAGTAGCGACTTTCATAAACTAAGCCCATTTGAACTGCTGGCAACATGTAGTTGTCAACGAATTCTTTGCGCAGGTCTTCAATGATTACCTGTATGGAGTAAATTGATATCATTTTGTTATTTATTATAACGCATTTCACTTTCCTGTCTTCTTCTCATCCGATCAAATTACAATAGTCCACTATATCATCATCACCATCTGCATTATCATTACAACCTATCCACTGCTGAAGATAAGCCTCCACTATAGAATGCCTTTATTTTTATCTTATCATAATTAGGTACTACAGTTAGCTGACGGATGGGCGCAATAGCAGTAATAATAATTATTTATTTATTTCTCACCACAAACGACATGGACAATGGATACAGTGTTACATCTCTATTTACAATATTATATATATAGTAGATATATAAGTAGATGTTACGTTAACCATTTTTGAAGTTATGACAAAATTCTATAAACACCTCTTCTCGCTTCGGCAAGTCTGTGAACTTGTTCAGGATTTCCCCCGTTATTGCATCGGATTTGATAGAACACAACTAAAGTTCAAACCAAACCAAAGCATAGTAAAAGTTAATAATTGAGATAGTCCGGGTTAATTATGGCATCAAGAGGATAAACCGTAGAGTTAAGTAATTTACATACTGGACGATGAACACCTTAGCCCCCTCCCCTTACAGCGACTATTTATTTTGGAATGAAGACATCGGGATGTTAAAATAAGTATCTAAACCAACTCTATTCCTGATTTACATTAATGAACTAAGTTCATTTAAACCTTTAAATGGTAATCTGATCTCCTATGCTGATGATACAGTTCTATTAATTTCAGCCATATCCTGGCAGAAAGTTTTTGATGCTGCGCAGGATGCTTTTGAGTTGACAGTGTCTCTTAGATGGCTGGGTGAAAATCTTTTGACAAAATACATTCCTTTTTCTATTCGGAAATTGAAAAGACTTGGAGATAAATTGTATCTTGTGGCTCACAGTTGCAATTTTGTAGATAAATATAAAAATCCTAAATTAGAGCGTACTAATGAAATAAAATACTTGGGGGTAATGTTAGATTGTCACTTAAATTTTAAAACGCATATTGAATTATTGAGCAAGAGTGCGGAAATTAATAATAATAATTAAAACACTTAGACATATTGCAGATTATAAACTCATAAAGCAAATTTACTTTGCACTCTGCCAATCACTGATATCGTACTGCATTACTTCTTCGGGAGGAGCGCCAGCTTCTACTATTAAGTGCTTAGAAATTGCCCAGCGTGCAGTACTCAAAGTAACCACTTTTCGACCTTTCTTATTCCCTACCAAACTGCTCTTTGAAAATTGTGAAGTCCTTACCGTCAGACAACTGTTTATTTTTGGGTATAATCTTGAAACAACACAGTGAAGTGATTTTTGATCCTGAAAAATGTATAAACTGCAGAATAGTCAGACCTTGTGAACTAAAACAGTTTCATACTTCATTTGTTCGGAGATTTTACTGTGCTTTAGGTCCTTTTGTGTATAACAAAGTTAATAAAATTATTCCAGTTTACTCCCTACATATAAAGCAATGCAAAAAGAAAATAACAGCTTGGTTACTGACTCTAGGATATGATGAAACGGAAGATCTTTTGACAGTGCAGCGCTAAGTTATTATGGACAGTGCTCGAATTTCTATTGTTAGGTAACTTAATGTATTCATTAAACTGTATTCTTCACCTTGTACACACCCTCTTACACGCACACACACACACACACACACACACACACACACACACACACGCACGCGCGCTCGCACGCACGCACGCACGCACGCACGCACGCACGCACGCACACACACACGCACACACACGCGCACACGCGCACACACACACACACACACACACACACACACACACACACACACACACACACACACACACACACACACACACACACACACACACACACACATACACACATTTTTTTATTTCAATTTCACATTTTGTTTTATACCACATCTGTAATATAAAGAACAAAGTTTTGTAAATTTTCCATAATTTTAATAAATAATTTATGTTTATTATGTCTGGGGAGTGGCGCCATATGCTGAAATACAGGTTTTGGCCTAGTTCGGCAATGGATGCTATTTTTCATGTTATAAGATGAAATATTCCTATGTAGTTTATAAATAGACATATTGTTAACTGATATATATATTCTTGAAAGACACAGATGTTGTATTTGTACTAAGTTACTTCGTATTTGAACAAAAAATATTTAAGTGGTTAAGAACTCAGACTTACGATCATTAAGGTGGGCACTTCTGTGTCTGTAATCAAGTAAAACTTTTTAAGGAATTTATGTATTGTATCTAATTTTTTATTCACATGAAACAAATAAGGCCGCCGCCGCTAATCTAATATTAGCCTAAAGGCGACAACAAACCTTTAAGGTACCATTCCGTAGCCGACAAAAGACAGCAGCAGCAGGCGACGTGTCGTCGCGACACTACTGGTTTCTACGTAGTTCTTGACATGACATGACATGACAGCAGCAGAATCATGATTGCAGCGACGTGTCGCGACGACACGTCGCCTGCTGTTGCTGTCTGCGGTCGGCTACGGAATTGTACCTTAATTGTAAAGTTCTTAATGATTACGACGTAATATAAATGAGTACCAATGAATACGAAATACATATAATTACGTCAGAGTCCAACAACAAAACAAAAGTAGTATAAAACTAGTTTCAGCTTTAAAATAGATCAGTTTCTTAAAAGAAGTCTAACATTTGCGGCTCGGTAAGTGGCTTAGCATTTGGCTGCGCTGCGAGTTCTTATCCAACACATAAGCCTACACACAGAATAAGCTTTGTTCAGAGACTGGCCTATGTACAGCAGCGATAATGGTGTTTTGGTGATTATTTATAAGTTGTACTTACATCTTTTGCTCCTATGTTCATTGCCTTCTTTTTTGCTTTTTCAAAATCTTCATCTTGACCTATATCAGCAATGTAACAAACAACATCGAAATTTTTTTGTATCAACCTGAAGACAAATAGTTATTTGTGAGTTAATGTTCCCAAGGGCTTCTACACAATTACTGAAGAGTTCATAAACTTTCGCTTTTAACTATACTATGATTATGTAACAAACACTCAATTAACTTATTTTTTTAAATATGATTTCACACATCCCAATAAGAGACAACTGGTATTACCATTTCAAAATGCAGCTCGTATCTAAGCCGCCAGAATACGCCAGTATTACAAGTTCTTTGGTCATCGCGGGGAATGTACAAATAAACGTTCCGTAGGTCTTATTACAAAAAGTAATTTACAATTAGTATCAATTTTAAGCTACAGTCTGTTTCAAATGTCAAAGACTATGGCACCGCGGCTGAGGGACTTCTTTCGGGCCCGAGATTATTAATAAATTGCGTTTGGTAAATAATTCCGCTTTCCTGGCGAGTCCATTTATATATTACAAAGAAAGATAACCTCGAGGTCGCACGAATCTTTATCAATGTTATAAAGGTATAAATATGTTACGGTGCAACTGTACATATAACCATCAGAACTTAAGCTGTATCTTAGTTTAGTTGTGTTAGTTAAGTTATAGCAGTGCGCCGTTTTGTGGGTTTACAGCAATCACCATTATATCACATTAATCAGTTGGAATATAGTTTCTATTTTTACTACACTTATTAGTTTGACCTGTGTGAACATTTGTAATGAAATTTTATAATTTTGTTTTCATTCACTTCCGAGCGTCTAAATAATCTTAATTAGTACGTTGTATTTATCACCTTTCCAGATACGAGGGTGGATTGAAAAGTACTCGGCCTAACACAGATCCATTCAATTCTAAAAATCAAATCTACCCACATTATTTAGTTCAGTTCAGACTAGTTCATTGTGTGAAGTTCGAAACGTGTGCGATAATTAGTTGTGATTTTATAAATTTATTAACAAAGTAATCGGACATAATTTCCGCGAATGGAGCAAATCGAGCAGCGTGCCGTCATTAAGTACCTCCATTAGAAACCTCCACATTAGGCGATTGTGCTCTGTCATATTCATCCGTCAAAAAATGGATAGCAGAATTTAAGCGTGGTAGAGAGAGTGTGAAAGATGAACCCCGCTCTGGAAGGCCTTCGACGTCAACTACTGACGAAAATATTAAAAAAGTACTTGATTTAATAATGGGAGACCGCAGATTAAAAATTAGAGAGATAGCCGAGATTATAGGCATCTCTTATGAACGAACTCAAAACATCATTGTCAACGAGTTGGGTTTCCACAAGGTGTCTGCGAGGTGGGTTCCGCGACTGCTTTCAGTTGAACAAAAAAGGACGCGATTGACTATTTCACGCGACTGTTTGGAGTTATTTGAAGCCGATGCAGATGATTTTTTGAATCGTTTTGTTACTATGGACGAAACATGGGTTCATTACTGTACACCGGAAACAAAACAACAATCAAAACAGTGGAGAAGACCTGGTTCACCACCCCCTAAAAAGGCTAAGTCGATTTTGTCGGCAAATAAGGTGATGGCTTCAGTATTCTGGGACTCAAAAGGTGTGATTATGATTGATTATCTTGAAAGGGGTCAGAATATAAACTCTGATTACTACTGCACCTTACTACGTCGTTTACGAGAGGAAATAAAAGAAAAACGTCGAGGAATGCTCAGAAGAAAAGTCCTGTTTCATCAAGATAACGCCCGTGTTCACACGTCAGTACAGTCAATGGCCGAAATTCACAACTGTGGCTTTGAACTGTTACCGCATCCGCCGTATTCACCTGATCTGGCACCATCAGACTTCTTTCTGTCCCCTAACCTAAAAAAGCACTTGGGAGGTCAAAGATTTTCGACAAACGACGAGGTCAAAGCAGCTGTAGACGCATATTTTGACTCTAAGGAAGAATCATTTTTTTTCAACGGTCTAAATGCTTGGAAGGGGAGGTGGCAAAAGTGTATTGAACTTGATGGTGATTATGTAGAAAAATAAAAATATAACTGATATAGTATGTGTTTATTTTCTTGGTTAGGCCGAGTACTTTTCAATCCACCCTCGTATTATATGAACCGTATAAGTATGTTTTCAACAAAATTATTATAGGGGGTTTTGAATTAAATTTTGAAAATAATTAATAAAAAAACAATGACGGTTAAATAATTTAATAAAATCTTTAACAGTTGAATACTGACAATAAAATTATGCTTACACACATAATAAGTAGCGTACCTCTACATAATTGCACAAGTATGAATATGAAACCACTTTTGAATTGTGAGACTAATGTTATTACAGTTAATATTATAATTGAAGTGACTTTTAATGCTTTTCTTTTAAAACTAGAATGTCTGAATTTTACACTCTATTGTTTGGTAAAATTATTACATATATGGCAAAACTATAAATCATTTTGTAGAGAATTAAAATAATTCTTACTTCTTCTACTAATATATATTACGCTATAAAATATTAATTTTAAGTCACATAATACTTATTTGAGACTTTCCATCAGCGTATTGTTTTCTTTGGTAGATTGGACTCTATACGTAATGCAGAGGGAAACAAGTTTAAAAAAAGTTTTGTAGTTTTATCTGTCAACATTCTCTTGGTTATAAGAACACTAAAAACGTGTGGAGTTATCAATAAGAACAAGATGATGTAGGACGATTACAGGCCACACAGCTTACAGCTACAATTACATGTAATAATTCAATTCTACTCTATAACAGATAACCTTAGAACACATACTATGCCGGTTCGTTATTGGAATGTAAAGATAATGAATATGCTGTTTAATGTTAGGCTTTATTTAGAATAAAATATCGGTGTCCCACGTTTGATATCCAGAGCCATGCAGCGGAAAATAATCAATAACAATTATTAATGTAGTTTATATTGCTAGAATTAACGTTTATATCTAATTGCTAAATAAAAATAAACGTTCACATAATGATTATTATAATAGAACAAGTGTATTTAAGTCTAAGGAATTAATAGCATCAACATATACACCTAGCTTTCATCGTTTATTTTAAATTATAACGTGTGGTATACACTCAAGGCTAAAAGAAAATACATCAAACAATAGAAAAAGATGGAAATATGCATGTAGTGCTAAATTCAATCTAAATTTGAATGAGTATACATGCAATCCATGCCTTTCGTTAATGATGTTTTCATAGCCACTTTGAACGAACGTAGTAAATATAGATTCCCTGTTTATTTAATAACCAAACTAAGGGTTTATCAGTAAATACAGTTTTACTTCAGGATATAACCTTTCATAGACATCTTTTTGTCCTACTAGAAATTTAGTCCTAATTCATAATTAAATAGATTAAAATATAGTTTAACTAAACAAATCTACCATATTATTATTCACGGTAATTTAACATTCCAATGTGTTTATATAGATGATAATCTATACCTTTTTATTCCAAATAAATAAATATTAGACAATATAATAGGCAATTAAAATAACAAACAATTCCGTAAAATATTAACTAGATAAATATTCTAGACGTTCAACATATTTTTTTATTAACAGGCATTAAACAATTTTATTTAATACAGATATCACAAACAAATCAATTATTTAAAACTATAACTATAATTAATAGTATTGCTAATTCATTTCTCAAAAAAGCATATGGGGCTAATTTTCAATGTCAAAACAGAATCTATTATTAAAATTTTCTGTATCAATTAAACGTTTGTTACAAATTCGTATGCTTTGTTGCATAATATTATTTTTTTCGTGAATATAGGCTTTATAAATTGTACTTCTCTATATCAATGTTTCTCTAACTAAAGTGGCGATCCCCAAAGGATATTTGTAAAATGTACGATTAATATAAAAGTGTGATATTCAAAATAAAAATTATATGTAACTGAAAAGCTCCCGTGCGTATTCAAAGTGGAAAACAAACTCATAGGTAGGATTAATTATTTCGATTTTTTGGGGATCACAACGGAAGAACAACGTTAGAGAGAAACTATGGTCTATGCTTTTCATGTAACATGGTCTATTGTTAAACAATCGTAACGAATGAGAAGATTATGTTCATTTCTGTAAGTTTAAGCTGTAAGAGAGCTGAGGTCTGAGATGAAAGTATCCGGTGTCAAGATGTGTGAAGAACCAATAATAACCTCCCAGTTCTTAAGGGCAGCAGTTACCTCGTACGCACAGCGAATCTCAGAGAAACATACACCTAAGAGAGAGAAAACGTTTTATTATTATTAAGTATTGATCAACAAGGAAGAAGAAGACAGAATGTTATATAGATTTCCATCATCATTTACAACCAACAACATGTTTTTATACACAAGCTGACTATTAGGTAAAACTTAGTCAAAGATAGATGGATACGAGAGAACATTACTGTTTCTCTATTTTCCTTTCTTGATCTGAATTATTATGGTACTCTCGAAGAGAAAGAACTATGTTTTACTGTAACTATGCATAGAAATTATCTCATGCTAGGTGGTTACTGAGGTTCATGGTGTTACCGACACCGTTACCTGGTTGATACAATTCCAACAAGAACAACAGCGCTATGGCTCTAATACATGCTTATGACAGTACCGTTTGATGATGGAGATGTCATTTACCACTATTGTATTAGCAAAATAGCACTACTTTATTTGTACAAGTTATTTTGTTTACATATATTATAAAGATAACTATTAATTATAATTTAAAATTGTTAATTATATCTAAATATCAACATGAAACCTGTATTAAAAGTCATAACAAGTTTGTTTAAATTTGCAGAAGAACTTCACCTTTGTATCTCGATAATTTTGTATGTCGATAAAAATCGTCAGTCAAACAGTTGTTAAAAAAACAAGGAAATTTAGTGTTAGCAATAAAGTATGAATATAAAAGGTTTTTAGTAAATAAAGATAATTTAAAACTTCTTACCTCCAACCACGAAAACGATGAGTCGTGGAACATTCTTTATAGTCTGCTGAGCCTTATCCTTGTGCCAGTGACCATAGCGAACGCTAAAATAAAACCATCCATTTATTTATTTTGCTCTGTCTCTACAACAATATCCGAACCTCTTATCCACCTATACTACACGAAATAACCATCTCAAACAGTGTATTTAAACTTTATTATGCCTATTATTTTTATTATTTATTACAGCGACAAACACAACTGCACACTGTGTGTGTGTGTGTGTGTGTGTGTGTGTGTGTGTGTGTGTGTGTGTGTGTGTGTGTGTGTGTGTGTGTGTGTGTGCGCGTGTGTGTGCGTGTGTGTGTTAAATTAATTATTTACTTATAACAGACTTACTATTGCTGTATGAACGTTTTAAAATATACGCCTGGTAAAGATATTGGCCAGTCGAGATGCTTGAGGAAATCAATGAATTGTCCATATAAAAAATGCTACATTTGTTGTTGAATGGTGTCAATAAGATTCTCGTAAACACAATACTGCTACTAGAATTACTGGTAGGAATGGATTTTCATTTTATGGCTTTATTTTATCTTTTTTTTATGATTATGAAACTACTGTGAGTAAGCAAATATCAGTGCAATGTTTGTAATTGTGTGTCTATCAGCATGTATGGCTATAATTTCTTTTCTTGCATAAAACACACACGCATTTATTAAAAATTGAAATAATCTCTGCTGAAATTTATTGACCAAATAAATAGATGTTAATCAGACGCGTTGCGATATAATAGATGCTGATTCTCATAATCTCGTTTGTTTTTAACCCCCCAAAAGAGGGGTGTTATATGCTTAATGTGTGTATTTGTGTTTCTGTGTCTGTCTGTGACACCGTAGCTTCCAAACGAATGAACCGATTTAGATTTAGTTTTTTTTTTGTTTGAAAGGTGACTTGATCGAGTGTTCTTAGCTATGATTCAAGAAAATTTCTTCAGTTGTTTGAAGATCACTCAGCTCTTTTTGTTTCGGAGATTTTTTAATTTTTAAGTTATTGTTATTATTTATCATACTGATTAGTGGCTGGGACAGTACATAGTAATTAAGTACCTACAGCAAAGGAAAAATATATTGTTAGGCTTGTGTCATTGATACTGAAACGCTCTGAAAATTTTAGCAATGATTATCCCGCCTGTTGAGTATTGGTTGTAACATTCCGCCTGTTGACTATTGGATGTAACATTCCGACTATTGTGTATTGGATGTCAAATTCCGCCTGTTGAGTTTTGGATGTAACAATCCGCCTGTTGAGTATTGGATGTAACATTCCGCCTGTTGAGTATTGGATGTAACATTCCGCCTGTTGAGTATTGGATGTAACATTCCGCCTGTTGAGTATTGGATGTAACGTTCCGCCTGTTGAGTATTGGATGTAACGTTCCGCCTGTTGAGTATTGGATGTAACATTCCGCCTGTTGAGTATGGGATGTAACATTCCGCCTGTTGAGTATTGGATGTAACATTCCGCCTGTTGAGTATTGGATGTAACATTCCGCCTGTTGAGTATGGGATGTAACATTCCGCATGTTGAGTGTTGGATGTAATAAAAGACAGGTCATTGATATTACGTGTAATCACAATAAAATAACTTACATGCAATTAATTTTAGTAGCGTCTTGTGTTCTCTGTTGATAAGTGAGTTTTACTATTTTGATCACGGGTCTAGTAATTGCCTTTTATTTACTAATTTGAAAAATACTTATTAAATGTTAATTGAAAACACTTAATAGATAAATGATATTTGGCGAAGTAGAAGGCTGTTTGTATTCCTAAAAATTTTAAGTTTTCATACCTTTCCCTGCTCTGTTAATTTTTTTTTCATAGAATAAGGGAGACAAACGTGCATATAGTCCACCTGATGGTAAGTGGATGCTGTCGCCCATAGACATCTACATTTATCCTCGGTTAAGAATCAAAATGCAGATGCGTTGTCACCACTGTGTAGAGGACTAAGATAGAGTGCCTCATTTCCAGTAAAAAGGGGCTCCGATTCTCTACACCCACCATACGAAACACAGCAGCATTAAGCTGCTATTTTAAGCTGGTATTCTGTGAGAGAGTTCTCACCCCGGTCGAGCCGACCCATTCGTGCTACAACCATAATATAACTGCAGCATGGCTCTACCATGTAAAAAGTGCCACGTATTTTGTGCACGCTTTTAAATTTTAATGTACATTAACACTATAGCGCGTTCATTTCTCTTATTAGTTTGAGCAGGTGTGCGCGCTTTTGGTGATCTTTTACTTTAGAAGCTTTTGTTAAAGTTATAAAGCAAACGAAAGCGCGCGAAATTTTAAATATTATATTATTGATTTACTTTCCATTTTATGAATTTTTTATGGAGTTCTTGTCTACGAACACTGACACGAGAAATAGACAAATAACAAACATCGCATAATATAATAATATTACACAATTAACAGCTTACCTGGTAGGTGCCTGATATCCGGAAGTTTGGGCGCGGCCGGCCAAGAATGGAAAGTGACGTTGGTCTAATTTATCGTCGATTGCATCTTCCATTATATCCTTTAGAATAAGAATGTAATGTAATGAAATTAAAATTATGGAAAATATCTCAAACGGCATCAAAGTGATGTGGATTTTTGATTATTACCCTTACAGCTTATCAAAAGATTGCCAAATATCCATATCTATATATTTATACATATCTATATATTTTCCATAGTTGCCACGCTTGACAGGCGGCTTGTTGGCAGTTTTTTTTAAATATGAAGACGCTGCTGCCCATCTCGTTTGTTTCCCTCTGTCGCCTCTTACGACACCCACGGGACAATATAAGGTAGTGCATACTCTTACACCGCCAGTAATTGGTGAGGTCTTTGATCATTAAGAGGATTGTGAAGTTCCGATACGCGGCGCGAGTAGGTATTTTCAAAAATGTTATCTGTTTCATAACGCACGCTCTGCCTCCCTCCGGGCTCCGGGCGTGAACAACACAAATACAACAAATATTATACTAATTTTAACGCACACTACAATAGCAGCTGCAGGAGCGTTCATTCATAGTCTATATTTGCGTACATTTACGACAAGTTACATAATGAATTTGTTTGTGTTACTTTGCAATTTTATTATATTCCATAGTCTATGTAGACATAAGTTGGGACTTAGTACATATACCTTATAGAAGTGAGCTGTTATTTTTTTATGTAAGTATCTACCTATCTACTATGTGAGTGATGATGAGATGAGTGTTACATTCATTCAACTAAAATAATTTTATACATTTTAGAATAGAAGAGAAAGATTATAGACAAAACTAAAAAAATGCAATTTGCTTCGTAAATCGAAAGGACGGGTAACGCTTCTAAAATCAACAGCTCTGTGCTCAACGGGTAAGTATGCGTACTTACTTACTTACTTTAATCGCGTATCTTACCACCTTACATACTATTGTATGTACAATGTACGTAGGTTGACTGGTAGAAGATAGACCGAAATTTATTCCACAAAATATAAAAGTATGGAATAGCTGATGTTGATTTGACTTCAAAAACGGAGGGGGTTCTATGTTCGGCTGTATGTATATTTGTTTTTTTTTTATGTATGTTCACCGATTTCTCCGGACCGATTTTGAATACCTATTCTTTTTTTGTTCACAGTTGGTCTCATACAAATTTTATGGAAATCATTTCAACCATTACATAGGTATATTATGTTGATATTGACTTTTATTGAAATCGGTTGTACAACATTTTTAATTTTATCACTTGTCCAGTAATAATATTAGTCCGTTAGAAGAAATTGTTCGTATCAATGTTACTGTGGAATTCCGATGATTCCAAGGAAAATGCAAAAATTTTCGAGATACAAAGATTTGATTAGTAAAATTTCTATACGTGGTATAGCCATGCTGCAGCTATATTAGTAGTATAGTTGTAGCACGAGTGGGTCGGCTCGACCGGGGAAGGACTACGCTCTCACAGAAATTTAAACGATGAACCGAATTATATAGGTAAACTAGCTTTTCACCCACGACTTCGCCCGCGTTAGTTAGTCGTAAAATATAATTTTAACTATTATGATTCTATTTATTTTTCAGTGACTCACAAGCGAAACATATCGAAGCCTAAATCGCGCTAACAAAGTTCCGAAGTTAAAGCAGTATATATAGAATAGCTCCGAACTACCACTTGGAGCGTTGGCCTCTCCCCAGGCAGAACACCTTACCCGGCGAGAGATCTCCCCTTTTCCTTCTACCGCCACAATATATTGACAAAAATGCAGCCAAGGCTTTACTCATTTTATTTTTAATGTTTATTACCAGAAATGATTGACCCTCGAGTTCCTAGAAAAATGGCAGTTCGAGAAAGAGTGTAATAAAGTAATATGTAAGTAATATGTAATAAACAATAATAATTTTTTCAAGTTGTTACTTTTTTATTTATTTGCCTACCTACTTTATTGTAAACTCAAAATCTTTTTAATGTTATGTCCTTGTTCAATAAAGACTAAATTAATTACTAAATAATCGATAAACACTGAATAATCACAAATATTAACTTTTTCATGAGGTATTATCTTTGTAGGTTGTCGATATTATTTTCTCCTCCCTAGGCGATAATAATATCGATAACACCTCTAACATCACTACAATATGCTCCTGCGACCCGTATCGTGCAATAGAGAGAGTTGCAAGTCTTGAAAGCAATTACTACATTTTCTTTTTGAAATATTGTTTCCGGCGATAAAGTTTTTACCCTCCTACATAGGCTGCACTAAAAGTATCGGGAATGAAATATTTCCACTGTTCCTGTCATATTAAAATCTTTTTAATTGAAAACACATTGGTTTTAAAAATCGAATACCATTTATTTATTTAAAAAAAGATTCTCGGTCTTGTCACATTGTTTTGTCAAACTTGTTTAGTCGTTGAGAAAATGGAATTGACTCGAGAAAATTCAAGAGCGATGATTTATTATGACTTTCGAAATGGTTTAACACAAAAACAGTGTGTTGACCGGATGATTTCTGCATTTAGTGATGAAGCCCCATCCAAAACCACAATTTATCGCTGGTTTGCTGAATTTCAACGAGGACGTGTCAAGCTCAGTGATGATCCCCGTCAAGGTCGTCCAAAAACTGCTGTCACCCAAGAAAACGTTGATGCTGTGCGTAAGCTAATTGAGGAAGATCGACATGTGACATACCGCGAAATTCAGGCAACTTTAGACATTGGCATGAGTCAAATACAAATAATCTTGCATGAACAATTAGGTGTAAAAAAGTTGTTTTCCCGATGGATACCGCATTCGCTCTGTGAAGAGCAAAAAGCGGCTCGCGTTACTTGGTGCGTCAGAACTCTTGAAAGATTCCACGCAGGATCCTCAAATGCTGTATACAACATCGTATCAGGTGACGAATCCGGATATACGCGTACGAACCCGAAACAAAAAACCAGTCACGAGTTTGGGTGTTTGAAAATGAGTTAAAGCCAACAAAAATTTTTCGTTCACAGAGTGTTGCAAAAAAATGGTGGCCACGTTTGTCTCCAAAACCGGCCATGTTACGACTATTCCTCTTGAGGGACAAAGAACGGTTAATGCAGAATGGTACGCTAGCATTTGTTTGCCACAGGTCGTTTCTGAACTCCGTAAAGAGAACTAAAACCGCCGCATCATCCTCCATCACGACAATGCGAGTTCTCACACCGCACACAGAAAAGATAAGAAAGAGTTTTTAGAGCAAGAAAACATAGAATTATTAGACCATCCGCCGTACAGCCCCGACCTGGGCCCCAATGATTTCTATACTTTCCCTAAAATAAAGAATAAATTGCGTGGACAGAGATTTTCATCACCTGAAGTAGCTGTGGATGCCTACAAAACGGCCATTCCATTCGGAAGTTGGGGTCTCCAGACCCCAACTTCCGAATGGAATGGTTGCTTCAATGATTGGTTCCATCGTATGGAAAAATGTGTCAAATTTCGCGGAGAATACTTCGAAAAGCAATAAATACATTTTTAAATAGTAATGTTGTGTCACTTCCTTGATTCCCGAAATTTTCAGTGCCGCCCTCGTAAACCCTTACAAAATAAAACAATTTTGGTCTTATTAGATTCAGTACACTTTAATCTAGGCCTGTACGTTTTACTTTTTTAATAATCAGTTTAGTTTAATTTAAAAAAAATAAAAACGCACGAGGAAGTTTTTAAGTCAAAAATAAAAACGTACGGGCCTAGTTTTTTGTCATATCTACAACATTTCCAAATATTATTAAAATTGGACTATACTTACGGGGGGGGGGGGGGGGGGGGGGAACGTTATCCCTTTTTATATGAAAATTTACATCTTCACAATCCTCTTAAGGTAAGCCATATCCCATCGATGTTTTATATAATAAGTATTAAACACTTGAGTTTATTTGAAAATATTGTTTGCAGAAAGAGATGTATGAGAACTCACTTTCACTTCACACACAGATTTTAATTAATCTACTGCTGGATATGATACACTTTCATAGTAGCAATAGGATTTCACGCTGTTTTTCGAAGTGGGTTTTACCGCTATCTATCGACATCTACAAGACTTTTAGGACTCACGCTAAAATAGGCGAACAATCTCAATCACCTTTCAGAATAATTTAGAGACGACCTTTGGGACATTTTCCTATGTCACTTCTTACGACACTTGTGGCATGGGTATGTCATACTTCATCCATAAAATATTTTAAAAATAAAACAATAAATCTATTGTATTTACCTTGATCACTGGAGTCCATCGAGACATCTGGTAAGTCTGTTCAGTGATACGCTCCTTTCTTGGAACTTGATATTGTTTTTTCCTGTTACCCTATAAAAATTAATTATCAAAATAATCTCATAAAAAATTATCAAGGCACTATATAACGTTATTGGTAATTTTTAAATGTTATTAATTTACGGATGCAATAAATCGTGAGATAACCTGCATGTCTGATTAATAAGAAAAAAAAATATTTCGAAGACGTGAAGTTCGCCAACAAAGCTCTGCGGCAGCGCGGCGGACACTTCCATGTTCCATGCCCTAAAACCCTCTCATAAATGAAAGGAGGCCTGCGCCCAGCAGTGGAACGTATACTTTAACTTTTATTGTATAGTATTTTCTTAGCATGCTTAACACACTTATTTTAGTTATATATTAAATTAGATTAACAAGTGATTAGAGTTAATCAACTAAAGGTAAAGCAACTAAAAGTAGACTGTTAGCACAAAAGTAAAGTAACCGACCAGAGGCAAAGCTTCTAAGGAGCATTCAAAATTTGCACCTATTTTGGTAGGGTTGACGCAGGAGGATAATATTAAAAAAAAAACGTTTATCAGCTTTTTATTATGTATCTATGATACAATATTTTTTTACAAACTATTTACTCTAAATATTTTATTTTCATATTGTGTGTCTTTGGATAGTTTGTTGTCTTTCGATGTCAGTTGTATGGTAAATTTTAAGTGTAATATAAAGTTCCCTTCTTAAAAATCTAATAGAAAGCATTCACACATGGCATATACAAACTTGCACACGTTTTAATATATCACTATCAATATTAAGTTTATTTTGAAATCAAAATATTCACGAAATTTTTGCTTAAGCAATTCAAATTGACGTATATGTATGATTTTATATCTGCCACATTAAAATTAAAAATAATACAGCCAACTCTCGTTAATTCGAAACTCGAGCGACTCTTAAAATATTACGAATTATTGAGTGTTTGATATATCAAATGGTTCGAAAATTTTGCAAGAAAATAAATAAAACTTCGAATTATTAAGTGTTGATCAATTATTATTTATTAACTGCTATTCTTTAACAATGACAATAGTTTAGAGGTACATTCGTGTACATGTTCATAATGTGAATTAATTAATCTTTCGAAAGAACTCTGTTATACTGGTTTGCTTCAAAGCACATTGTTGCTGCTCAGACTGCTCAATAACTTCTTTTAAGAGAAAAAGTGCCTTTCTCTCTGCAACTTTGAATTGTCGAGTGTTTCACACCGATAACTTCGAATTAACGCGTCGTTTTGTTACGTAGCAATGATATTTTCGTTCGAATTACCAAGTGCATAAAAATGTATTGATTTAGTTCGAAATATAAAGAGATTTTGTAGGGAACTCGTGATAACTTTAAATTATAGAGAGGTTCGAATTATCGCAGGTTTGAATTAACGAGAGTCGACTGTATTATATATATTATATAGGTATTTTTATTAACTTTATTTGTTTCAATCAAGTTACAATATTATTGCATATACTATTAATAATTATGATGTATATAAGTACTATTATTGTTCATACACACAGTACAGTAAATTATATTTACACTTTTGTTATTTTTAAATCAAACGTGAAATGAGTGAGCACCCTGAGTTTGAGCACTGGCCGAGCTATTTTATAGCAGTTTCTGTACGTGACTTATTTATTCTGTAGGTGACGAGCCGCCAGTGATCACGCACACACGCGCCGCACGCTTGTAGTAGTGTAACTTATAGCGCGGTTGTATGAGGCTTCCCCTCTGGTTGGTTTCTTTACTTATGTACTATTAGATTGTTTGTTACCATATTATTACAAAAAAAAAACGAGATTGTGGACATTTGTGACCCCAACTTTTCAATTCAATTTGTAAGAATCGGTACTTAGATACAACCAATAAATTATACTGCAGTAATAAAAATAACATTGACTTACATCAATAACAACATTAAGGCCCAAATTCGCCAGGTTCAAAAGCGCCTGCTTGTCGGAGGGCTCCAGTTGAGCGTGAGTAACTAGTTTATTCAAATTTTCTTCAGATATACCGTTTTTCGACATGATGTACAAAGCGATGATACGCATTTTATTGTAGTTTGTCACCGTCTGTGGAAGATGGTTAATTTAGTCCTTGACGGTCCTTATCATATTCCAATTTACATACTAAGCTTTTGTTTCTATTCACAAGCAAAATTAACATCGGGGCAGAAATAAATGCAGCGTCATAGATATATTTATCTGATTAGACAATCTAGTTTTATATTGATAAAAAACTAAGAGGCTGTAACAGAGACGGCCCAGACACAATTCGCATTGTGTTTTAGACTTAACTATTACATATTAGAAAAGCATAAAAACAATTTATCCATACATAGAAATAGTAGGATCTGTGAGTAATGTTTAAATTTATAGTTTTTAAATAGTTTCGGTTTGTATTTTTTAATATTCAACAAGATTGAAATTTAAAAAAAAGGCTGTCTGTACAAATCACATTTAACTCGAAGTTCTTGAATAAATTGGCATAAAATTTACACTGGTTGCACTAGGATCTCACTGATAGTTTGTAGAACTAGCCAAAGTAACAACGCCAATTGATCAAAATAATTTAAATAGCTGTAGCAATTTGCCGATTTAATGTTAAACTCTATTATATCTGAAACCCTCTCAGAAATGAGAGGTCTGTGTCCAGCAGTAGAACGACTATAGGCTGCAATTTTAACTTTTTATTATATCAAAATCATTTTTTTTTTTTAACAAATTGGCTGTTATTTAAAAAAACAGCCAAATTGGCGGTAATGGGTTACGTCACGGCAATGCTTGAGCGCTCTTCGCCAGGTGAAGAATAGAATTTATGAATTATCTAACAAATAACTTGCCACAAAAATATGTGGTATCAGCTATGTAGTCCTGACCTGGCTTCTAGTGATTTTCATGTATTCTCAAGACAAAAAAAAATATATCAACGCATTACCAACCCTGAAGGTACAGTGCAGTTACTGTGTTGAGAAATGCCATGGAAGAGACTCTTAAAAACAATGGAACTATTGTTTTCCTCTATACGTCAAATGCTTCCAGTAGTCCAGTAGTTTTTGGTTCATTTATGATTGTTTAAATACTTTGAATGTCATCCACATACATAATGACCCTAGGACTAATTTAGTTTTTGTTCCAATTCCAGAATCCCAAACTGTGATAAAGATATGATTTAGTGTCTCGCATTCACACAGACGAAGTCTGTGTTCTTATATTAGTTAATGATATTTACCTGATCCAGCAATACAGGTACAATGCTTCTCATATGATCCTTAATTTTTTCTCCTTCTGCGTCAGTTCCCATGGCCAGATCCTGTTAAAACAAAATAATTTTGAAAATAGCTCCACCAAATTAAAGAATTGAAACAGTGTTTTGACATAATGTTTGATTAATGACACTAAATCATAGGAACATAAAAAACTTATAATAAAACCTTCACAAAGATAAAGTGCACATTGATTAAAAAGGCGTCAAAAAGTTATGGTGAGACTAAAAAATATTGGTTGAAGATTGATATAATATTTAATTAAATGTTTCAAAAAAACATGATTTTTCAATGCACATTGTTAAAATGTAATTTTTTTGGTATAACACTCTTTCGATAATTAACATTCATCATTACACACTGCCTGACATGTGACTGCGTGACCTGTAAAGCTTATGGCACAGTTTTACTTAAATATTAAGATCAACATTTATTGAAAAAGTTATTAAATGTACCCAAACAAAAAAAAAATAGAATATATATATATACACACACACATATATATATATATATATATATATATATATATATATATATATATATATATATATATATATGTGTGTGTATATATATATTCTATAAAAAATTATAGAATATACATTTCAAGTGACGCCGAAACCATCAACTTGTAAGAACACGCACTCGCGCACACACGCGCACCAAAAACCATGTGTTTTATTAAAATTTGATAACTTGTAGTTGATAATACTACATTACAATAATGTAATTTAAAGGGTAAGGTTATATCCATTTTAATAAAAGTTCAATAAGTTTTTCTAAAGAGAGTAAGTTTTGAAATTGTTTTTTGTAATTGGTTAGCTTTTAGAATCGATATCTATCACATTTGGACTCTTTATATCTGCTTCGTCTAGGTCTTAAATCGAAGTTTAAAATAGCAGCTATTTTGAACGATTTGATTTGTTCATGAAATTAAACTAATTTTACGGATTTTACCGCGTTTAATTTAACTTTTTCTCTTTAATGATTGCTTTTAAAATCAATATCTGGAGATTCTTTTGAACACAGTCCACCTGATGGTAAGTGAATGCTGCAGCTATGGGCATCTTCATTTATCGTCAATAAAGAATCAAAATGCAGATGCGTTATCACCCCTGAGGACTAAGATAGAAATCCTCGTTTCCAGTACAAAAGTCTCCGGTTCTCTACACACACACCATACGAAACACACCAGAAATGACAATGGAAAAAGAAAGATATATAATAGATAACTAATACTTAAGTTAAGCAAGCCATGATCAATGTATGAATGGCTGTTAATGATATTTACCTGTTCCACCTTGCATAGCTTGTCAACATAACCCTGGTATGCTTTCATACAATCTTCGGCGAGACGCAGGTGAGTAGCATACTTAGAAAGTTCCTTTTGATACTGCGGCATTTTCTTAATCATTTGGGATAAGTCTCGCATTGATTGCTTGTCACCTATAAAAAAAAAAAGTATTATTTTTTTACTCGTTATAAAACAATGTTTGAGACTTTTTACGTTTTTCCTAGTCACATTGAAATATTTGGATATTTAATTTAGAATAACATCGCTCACAGCTTATATAAAAAACGTATGGTTTGTGTCTAAGAAAGAAATAGAATAAAAACCACGTATAAATTAGTTGGTAGGACTGCTTTTTTGCCGAGCCTGTCTGAAAAGATAACAGCCTTTTACCTTAGAGCAGTGCTGTATTCAAGTTTGAAGTGTTTGGAAAGCCGATATACATATATGAAATATAGCTTTCTTTGTATGAGAGCACTAGCCACTTACTATTAGGTGGACGTAAATGAATCCACTATTTCATTGAAATCAGTTCAGTAGTTTAGGTGTTCATCGCGGACAAACAATATGACACGTAATTTTCATATATAAAGAAGATATACATAAACATTTTTGGATCGGGCACGCTGCGTTATTTCGCTTTTGACTGACGGACTCGTTAGTAGCTGTTATGAATATATAAATAAACATTTAAAGAAGGGAAAGACATTACGCAACTTTTTGCACTTCCGTAACCTATATGTTGTCATGGGTCATTAACTACCTTCATACCCAATTACATGGAAATACGTTCAGTTATTTTTGCATGAATCGTAAATACATAAACAAACAGACAAAAATTCTAAACATTATTAATTTGGCTTAGGCATTATTTTAGTTCTCTTGATAAGTTTTTTTCAGAAACGATTTCACTACAGATTTATTAAAGTTAAAAAGTTAAAGTTTAGAAGTACAGATTTAAAGTAAAAGTTCAGATTTATTATATGTATAAATTAGGGAACATGATTAATAGGTACCTCCACCCATGCGCTTGGACTCTGTAAATTTCTTCAGGTTCTTAGTGACGGACGTGGATACAACCGCAATGTGCTGGTGGCGGAGTTCCACCCACAGCTCGTCATTTTCATCCAACAATACTTCTTTCACCTGCCCCTGAGATGCTTCATATCTAGTAATGTAAAAATATACTTGATTATTGAAGAAAAACATGTAATGAATTTGTTCTATTACTAAAGTGAGCATACATCCCGTTTTGAACGGGACTGTCCCTTGTCTCGGTCACCTGTCCCATTGTCCCCAAACAAAGCTCCGGGACGCAAAATAGTCCCGTTTTCCGAAACCAAATAATATTGATGAAGAGTTTGTCAAAAGTACAGCTACATCATTTTATAAAATAAGCCGTGAATATCTGCAACAGTGGACTCGCTTTCTTACTAAAGGAATGGAGATATTTTATTGGGCAGATTTAATAAAAGTATCTGCATGGAAAGATATTTAAAAAAAAGCACTGGATGTATTAATTGAAGAGGGATATATTGACTGTAATAAATATACGAAAGTATTTGTCCAATTTACAAAAATTTCAAGCTACATCACTTCCCAAAAAATAAACGAATGGTATAATTTAAAAGTTTCCACGAAAACTTATTATTCAAACACTTTCGCAACAACAATAATTTTAAACATATTTTTTTATGTATTTTAATCAAATATATTTTATGTCCTGTTACAAATGCTCCAGTAGAAAGAGTAGTTACAGTTCTAAAAGCGATGTTGATAACAAGTCAATACTAAAGAAACATGCATAGAATTTTATTCTTATTTAAAATCATTACCAACTTTATTAAATTTACCGTCCCATATGATTATGAGTGTGAGGGAAGAGAGTGCACCTATGCTTACACATGCACTATAATCCTGTCCTGCGCCGATGACTTATCTCCGTTGTGACATGTCGCCGTGAGACCGAAATTTGGTCTGGAGGATATTATTACTATTCCTTTAAATATTCACCCTATTATATACCCAAAAATCGCAGATTTTCTCTGCTTTCCTTTAGCCGACTTCCAGGCATAAGCCTTATATTATTTGTGAAAGAGTTATAAATCAAAGAATTTATGTCTCCAAACTGAATGACCAGTAACTGGACAACAGTACACTGGGAACTGGGAGATGCAGTCTACCTCAAGTACTCATAATGATTTCTTAAATTTACATGATTACTACACATTGAATGAAACTATTAATTTAAACTTTTTAATTCCCGACATTTACAGCACGCATAGTCACAAAGGAGACTGAGGTTTTCCAGATGACATATGTAATGAAGGCTATCTTCAACTTAATTTTTTTTTATAATCTATGCAAAACGAGCTAAGAGTATCTTGAAGTCTTGCAGTAGTATGCTTTGGTTTGGATTTAATTTCATTAATTACGGGATCCGTCACAGAAGCTAGCCCTATTTTCTAATTGTAATAGCATATATTTGACATATTTTCTATATAATATTTCTATGATAAATATATCATTTCGATATTTGTCGGTTCGTCCAGTGTATGTTTGGACAAATTATAGACCACAAGGGATCTGTGGCAGAAAACATCTGGCCGTCGAGCATCAGAACGTCAAGCAAGCATTGCAAGACAACAAGCTTCGGGTCTCGCGCTTACATCACAGTGAACGAGTAAAGCCGGCCACAGTCGCGCGTGTGCCTGCTGTACTACCATATGTCAGAGGAATCACAGACAAGATTGGCTACATCTTGAAGCGAGCTTCCATTAAAACCTATTACATGCTGCCGAAGAAGATTTGTTAATTTTTACCATCCGTCAAGTGTAATACCCCTTTACAAGATACAGGAGTATACAAGCTTGATTGTGAATGTGGTCTCTCTTACATAGGCCAAAAGCTGATGTGAAGCACCGACGCTCAGGGAAGTCTGCAGTCTATGAACATGTTCAAGATCGTCTCCGCCATTACGTCAGATTTGATAGACCACAAATCCTTGCAAACGAACACCAATTCCTACCAAGGATTATTCGCGAGGTTATTGAAATTAAGAAACATCCTAATTTCAATACAGTCTGCTCGGGATCCTTTAATTAACAAAATTAAATCCAAACCCAAGCATACCACTGCAAGACTTTACAGTATCTGTAAGTTCATTCTGCGTATATCGAGACGCCAAACACCTCAGTCCCCCCCGTGACTATGGGTGCTGTAAAGCAAAGCACCGGCAATTTTGTGAATTTAAAAATAAAATCCGTAAAATTTGTTTCATTTAAAATGCGACTTGTTTTTTTACTATCGGTCGGAAGTGTCTCGAGTCGTTTTATGTACGGTGTATATTTATTTACAGTGTTTTCTTTGATATTGGATCTATAGTCACCAATCGCCATGATTCGCACCACTGTTTTCGACGCCACATTAAACATAAGTAAATGCTTTTAGAAGTTCTACTTCTATTGGGGCGTTTGGGAAAAATGATGAGAGTGAATTTTTTACGATGCGCGCGCACACCGACAGCTAAAAGCGACACCATGAAGTTGTTACGATGCGCGCGCACACTGACATCTAAAAGCGACAACTTCAGTGGGTAATTGCCGTGCAGTGGCGGTCAAGAATATCCACTACCCCATATCTTCCCGTGGGTGTCGTAAAAGGCGACAAAGGGAAACAGGCAGGAGATGAGCAGCAGCATCTTCCTGATAATAGCCAAAATTACAATAAAAAAAAAACTGCGGTTGCCAACCCGCTCGCCAAGCGTGGCAACCATGGCAAATACCCCCCTATGAAGAGAGTAACAAGGAGAAGGCCCCCAGTCCCCGGCGGCCCCGCTATTACTGACTACGGTGGCGACCATGGTAACGGCGGGGCAGGGGGTGTTAAGAATCTCCGGTGGAGGTTCGGTTGCCACCTACGACGACTCGACCTGGCAACATACAACGCACGCACCCTGAGGACTGACGAGAAGATCGTGGAGCTGGAAGAAGAGAAAGACAAGTTACGCTGGCATATTATAGGATTATCCGAGGTCCGAAGAGGGGGGGAGGGCACTGTAATCCTCGAATCCGGTAACTTGCTCTATCATCGGGAGGGCGACCATCTGTCCCAAGGAGGTGTCGGATTTATCGTCCACAAGTCTCGTTAACAACATAGTAAAGATTGAGAGTTTGTCGACGAGGGTTGCGTCCTTATACTCAGAATCACCAATTCACTGAATGTCATACAGGTTTACGCACCAACCTCGGCATATCCCGATGAGGAGGTGGAGGAAATGTATGAGGATATCTCTAGAGCCATGTATTCCTCCAAAACCCACTATACGGTGTTAATGGGAGACTTCAATGCAAAACTAGGCACAAGAGAGAATGGTGAGCTGAAAGTAGGGAAATTTGGAATAGGGCAACGGAACCCAAGGGGCCAGCAGCTGGCCGACCTCATGGAGAAAAAGGGACTCTTTATGATGAACTCTTTCATCCAGAAGTGGCCCCATAGGAAGTGGACCTGGTCGAGCCCCGACGGTTCCACAAAAAATGAGTATTGACTTCATTATGACGATCAGACGACAACTGTTCATTGATGTCTCCGTGATCGCGAGGGTGAAAACTGATAGCGATCACCGAATGGTTAGAGGCACACTGAACCTAAACGTTAAGTTGGAGAGGTCTCATCTAATGAAATCAACGCTCCGTCACCCTCGTGCTCTAATCCAAAGGCCCGAAATCTTTCAGCTAGAGTTACAAAACCGTTTTCAGTGCCTAGAAGAATGCAATGAAGTGGACGATATGAATGACAAGCTCGTGGAAACTGTCCATGCGGTCGGAGCTAAGTTTTGCAAGACCCGCCGCAGTAGAACACAACAACTCTCCGATCACACTCTTAATCTCATGGCTGTTAGACGGGACATGAAGCTACATTCTTAAACAGATTTGACAGCATACAGGCATCTGAACAGACAGATCTCGAAATGCATTTGGCGGGACTTACGCAACTTCAATACAGCTTGTATTAAAGTTGTGTGGCAGCATCGTTTCCGGGACACCTGAAATTTTGAGTGAGATTGAGAGGTTCTATGGGCAGCTGTACACGTCATCGTTGGAGCAACACGCAAGTGTGAGTAACGATCCAAGAGCGAGTCTTATCTGACACTATTCCGATGATATCCCAGACATCAGTCTGAGCGAGATTAGAATGACTCTCCAGCACCTTAAAAACGGTAAGGCCCCAGGCGAGGATGGAATTACAGCGGAGCTTCTGAAAGCAGGTGGAAAAACGGTACTTGAAATCCTTCAGAAGCTCTTTAATTCCGTCCTCCATGGTGGCACTACTCCGGAGGCGTGGAGCAGAAGTGCGGTGGTCTTGTTCTTCAAGAAAGGCGACAATGCTCTGTTGAAGAACTACAGACCGATTTCCCTTCTCGTGCTGTTTTCGAGAGTCATTACTAATCGTCTCGTACGCAGACTTGACGACTTCCAGCCTCCCGAACAAGCCGGTTTCCGAAAAGGCTTTAGTACCGTAGACCACATACATACCCTGCGGCAGATTGTACAGAGGACAGAGGAGTATAATCTGCCACTTTGCCTTGCGTATGTGGACTATGAGAAAGCCTTTGATTCCGTCGAAATTTGGGCGGTGCTGCAGTCCCTTCAGCGGTGCCAAGTTGACTGTCGGTATATCGAAGTGCTGAAGTGTTGGTACAGTAGAGCTACGATGGCTATCCGAGTACAGAATCAGAGTACAAAACCTATCCAACTGCAGAGATATGTAAGACAGGGCGACGTTATATCCCCGAAACTCTTCACCGCTGCATTTGAAGACGTTTTCAAGCTACTGGACCGGAAAGGATGCATCAATGGCGAGTACATCACTCACCTTCGATTTGCCGACGATATAGTCCTTATGGCAAAATCGCTGGAGGACCTAAGCACTATGCTCAATGACCTCAATAGTGTTTCCCAACGGATAGGTCTTAAGATGAACATGGACAAAACAAAGATCATGTTTAACGTCCATGTCACCCCTATGCCGGTAGTTGTTGGGAGCACTAAGCTCGAAGTTGTTGACGAGTATGTTTACCTGGGACAAATAGTCCAACTAAGTAAGTCCAACTTCGACCGAGAGGTCAATCGATGGATTCAACTCGACTGGGCAGCATTCGGGAAACTACGACACATCTTCTCGTTGGACATACCTCAAAACCTGAAAACGAAATTGTACAACCAGTGCGTGTTGTCAGTAATGACTTACGGAACTGAGACGTGGTCCTTCACTGCTGGCCGTATGAGGAAGCTCAAGGTCGCTCAGCGAGCAATGGAGAGGGCTATGCTCGGGGTTTCTCCGCGTGATAAACTTAGAAATGAGTATATCCGCAGTAGAACCAAAGTAACCGACATAGCCCAACGGATTAGTAAGCTGAAGTGGCAGTGGGCCGGCCATATAGCTCGAAGAACCGACAACCGATGGAGAAGAATGGTTCTCGAGTGACAGCCTTGTACCGGTAGGCGAAGTGTAGGGCGACCCCCACGAGATGGAGTGACGACCTGATAAGACATGCATGAAGTCGATGGATGCAGGTGGCTCAGGACCGTGCTTTGTGGCATTCCTTGGGGGAGGCCTATGTTCAGCAGTGGACTTATGAAAGGCTGTAATGATGATGATGATGAACCATATGTTTATCTACAAGCTTTTAGGCACTTGAGAATGACTTTCTATCATAATGAAAATAATTTAAGAATTGAAAATTACACTGCGAACGTGACATTACTTAGAAATGCTTGAAAATGTTGGTTGAGCAAATGGATGAGTTCTTGTAGTTAGGACGTGTATATAGCAAGGATGGACTTCCAAGATATAACTCTTTTAGATTTCAGGACTTTTTCGCCTTATATTTTTCAGAAGCTATTAAATTGTTGAAATCATTTTATTCTTACCAGTTCTTTGAAGTCAGATCGAGAGAGAGTTGTCTCTGGATAAAAAATGGAGAACTAGTGTTCCGACTTTGTAGAAGTCTAACTTTATAACATAGTCAAAGAAGAATATAAAAATCTACCTGTAGACGTCGTTCTCAATAGGCAATAGGTCATAGGCCATAGCTTGCAAAGTGAGTTCGTGCAAGAGCGGTGAGACGCAGTCAAACCCGCGGTCTAGTACTAATAGTTGTGAACGCGCTTTCTCTGGTCCTTCACCCATGGTCGGTTCATCGGCCTAAAATAAAAAGGTTTATTTTATTTATTTCATTAATTTTTATTGTACAATATACATCTTCTTAATGGATATTAGACAAAGGGCGGACTTAAAAAGCCTTATACCAGTCAACCCTGGAGATTTGAGAAACTGTGGTAGATGCAAACAGTTAACTAAATAAAATTAGTAACATAGATATAATATGATACAATAAAATGTAGATAAATAGAATACAGTAAAATATACATACATAATACAACATAATAAGTTAATAAGGTATATAAAATAATAATTAAATCTTATGTAAACGGGCACTAATATATAAAATGTTTAAATTAAATATATACACTGCCTGGGCGAGAATAAAACAAAAAAATATCACTTATTCATTAAAAATTTTAATTGCAATTTTAATTGCTGACTTGCTGCAATTAACTAAAACATCTTTAGGAAAGCTGTATCTGTAATACAATAGAAACAGAAACTTTTTTTATTCAATATAGATTATAAATAATACTTATTGAAAGTCACTCTTTTGTTTAATTACCACTGGTTCGAAAAAAAACCTGTCCTGGGAAGAACCAGCAAGAAACCCAGCGGGACTTTTTTTTAAATAACAGCTTACAGTCATGTATGTTACACAAATTAACAACACAATAAATTAGAAATATCTTGGTAGCGATCACCTCATTTCCAGGGGTTATTATGATCCATAAATTCTTTAATATTATAATAACCCTTTTTATACAAACTTAGTTTAATAAAGTTTTTGAACTTTGAGCAGGTCAAATTTTGTATATTTTCTGGAATTTTGTTGTAAAAGCGTATACATCGCCCCAAGATTGAATTACTGACTCGATGGAGTCGAGTAATCGGAGTAACTAGCTTGTGTATTTACAGAATGAATATCACTTATTTTTGTAAAACTACTTTTATTTTTGTGTACGTACATTACATTTTCATAAATGTATTGAGAGGCCAAAGTTAATATAAAATTGATTTCCTTAAATTTTTGTCGCAGCGACTCTTTAGGCTTTAAATCATAAATTGCTCTTATGGTCCTCTTCTGTAAAACAAATATAATTTCAGTGTCAGCTGCGTGTCCCCATAGTAAAATACCATACGACATTATGCTATGGAAATAGCTAAAGTAAACTAGTCTAGATGTTTCAACACTGGTAAGACTTCTAATCTTTTTTACAGCATATGCTGCAGAACTAAGTCTGCTTGCTAGTGTTGATATATGGGGGCTCCATTGAAGCTTCGCGTCTAGTGTGATTCCAAGAAAAATGGTGGTATCTACAAGACTCAGTTTCTCCCCATTTAAAATTACATTAGTATTTAATTGTTTGACATTTGGAGTCATGAATTTCATACATTTCGTTTTAGTGCCATTTAAATGCAAATTATTAACATTTAACCAATTTACTAATTTAGATATAACAATATTTCGAGTACATATGAAGTTCATCTAAACGAATTGCTCCATTATGTTCTCAGAAATGAGAAGAAACCACCACCGCTCCAGCAGGGGTACATAATATACAAAGTTATTTTTCAAAGAGTAGACAAATTATAAACTTAAATTCAAAATATATAAATAATGCAAATTTTTGTTTTTTTTTTTTAATAATGAAGGTATTGAAAATATAAGTAAATAAGGGTTCCACTTTTATTTGAAATTATCCCAAATTAAGTGTGATTTATGGGTAACAACGTTTTTGCCTAATGATCTACCCTTACAAATGTGTGCGTGCGCAGTAAAATCCGTTAAGGTAATCCATTACCACGCATTTTGAATTTAGGAGATAAAAAGGACAGAATGGTTGAGATAGTTTTTTACTAATTTTTCTTCATCATTTGCCTATATTAATAATTCTGAACCTATTCTGCAAATTTGGCCGGTTATTGCAAAATAACCCTGTATATAGGCTGTAACCTTAAAATACTTTTGAGTTACAATATGCATATTTGATGTCTTAAATAAAATTTACCTTATAGGCATCAAGCTTTTGCTGGATAAGTTGTGCAAGTTCTACGTTACGCTCCCAATCACTGTAAATATAAAAGTATTTTACATCAAAAAAGATTTACTTAAATATCATATCGACGGGTAATGTATGACCATTAGTCGATCGGGAGAGCCTAGTTCGTTAGTTAGCAAGGTACACAAGGTTTGGCAAAGACTGAAATATTTCCCTTAAAACCCTGATTAGCGAAACCGATATCTCTATTATTTATTGCTTACTATTTCTTCATTTCCTCGTAATACATTATATTAATTATTATTAGAATAAACTGACATGTCTAAATGTATAAAACAAAATGTAACTTTGCGATTTTTCAATCCTCAAATAAAATGTTATAAAACTTTTTAACGAATAAAATCATTTGGCTGATTAATGGCCAAATACTCAATTTTAAGACTTTGTTAAAGAGATAGAGACAGCACAGGACTTAACGGCATTTTTAAATTAAGTAGCGTTTGATTATTAAATTATTACGCAATAATTGTTGCACAATTTTGGTTATCTATTTTTCGGTTCCGATTTATCTCATGAATAGCTCAAAAAAATTGCATAAGCAAATTTTAGAGCAGAACAAACAATTCCTATTTTCGCTTTAAGTCAATTTAATTTCGGGGTCATGTTTTCCTAAATATTGTTTGTGGAGTTGTTTCATGCTCATCTTATTGTAATTTTAATTCAATATAAAATCGCAATGGAATCAAAGAAAGGCATACAGCGAATTTTAATACTACTGATATTTAATTGGTACCTGAAAATTCACCATTATTTGTTGTACACATAAACGAATTTAAAAGTTACCTCTGTGTTTTTATTCGATTTTATATCTCATTATGGATTTGGATTAAAGGGATAGGTACATTTATTCCTTCAGTAGTCATTTGTTAAAAAATATGCCTACCGGACGATTGAAATATTCAATTGTCTTCTATCTGTTGAATATCTATGAGTATATTTGTCGATTTAAAAATTGGCCCTTTTTGTCTTGTGCATTTAGTCTTTTAATATTAAAAAATGTGGTTTAAAACTTTGTAATGTATAAAATTAATATTTCCCTGGAATTATTTTCAACTAGCTTTTCAGATATTCTTCTATTACATACCTTCGATACCGTACAGAAGGATATTCTCCCAGCGTTGCACATAAGGTTGCAATTTGTTCTGCGATACGTTCCATATTAGCGTTACGTGTTTGTGCAAGGGCAGGGTTGTACATGCACTGGAACGTCTCTGAAGAGTCCAACGAGAACACCTACAAGTGCGTTTAAACACAATTAAAAAACTAATTCAAGGTTTTGAATACTAAGAAATACAATCGTTTATAGTAATTTCTTCGGATATATTTAATGTATTGATATTTTTGTGACGTGATGTAAATATTCACCTGGCTCTCATATGGTAAGAAGGCAATATTAATCTCCTTCAAAGTTTTAATTTTTCTGGCGGCTGTTGATTTGCACAGCTCATTGAACAGTTCCTCTGGGCATACTATTTTAAGGCAGCGTGTAAAGATATTGTTAACAATTAAATTAACGGGTAATTGGAAATTTTCTCGAAGTCCACAGGGACAAGGTACGATAAAGCATGTGTTAGATAAAAATACAATTTCGACAAACCTGTTGTTCATATGGTATGAAAGCAATGTTGATTTCCTTTAAAGTGTGAATAAATTTAGCTACACGACTACGCGACAATTTGTCAAAGAGGACATCAGGACAAGCTGTAAAAGTCAAAATAAAGTAATAATAAAAAAGCAACTAAATGAAAAGCGCAGGACTAGCTTCACAGTTGAAATTAAATATACAAAGTGTGTACCTTCTGTAAAGAAAACATGTGCCGCCTTGTACATAATTCGGTTACCGACTGAGAAGTCATTGATTAGTGCATGTACAGATTTCTCAGATGGCGTGATGAGGTAGATCCCATCCATGGTGCATAGTGGTTCTCTTTTCTTATGGATATCCTCAACCACTGTAAATAGTTAAATGATGGTAAGTAAGAAGCGATTTTATTTTATAATATATAGTAGCTTATGCAGTTAAGATACCTAAAATATGAAAGAAAAAGGTAACCTGCGAGTGTTACCTTTTTTTTATTTCGTCATGGGCCCGACCCATAAATGTTTTTAGTTTTTACGCTTTAAGTGTCAGGGGCCGTTCGGGAGGTCGCGCGATACCGGTAGGCGCTAATGTAAACAATGGTATCTTTTTACTTTTGTATGCCAGCTATTATATAAAACTTAAACACATCGATTCGTTATGAATTAAGATATATGATTCTTCTTTATAAATATTAAATTCTATTTTTATAATATTATCAATTTCAAAGTATAAGGATTATGAAATTAAGCCATTATATAAAACGGTATTTGTTTTATTTGCTTAATAATACAACATTATATGAAAAGAGATTAAAAAATCACACCCCATCAATACATTTTTTTGACACAACAAACTTTTTAATATCTACCTTTTACGTGGCAAAATAAAAACAAGTTAAAACAATCGAAAATGTTGAATACAAAAATGTTTAAAAACGTTACATTACGGCCTTGTCTTTAATCTGTTGTTCAAAGATTAAAACAGCGTTTTATCTTTGAACAACATAGATTAAAGACAAGGCGTGTTTAATTGAGAAATGGGCACACGGGGTCGGCTGACACACGGGCATGCATGCGCTGTCAACCCCTGCGGGCGTCATGACACTTGAGGGGATGTGCCTAGCACTTCTTACGTTTGTTTATAGTGCTAAGCATTTGTGGAAAAATATACAAAAATTTCTTTTTTTTTTCCAATTTCCGACACTCGCTGATAAAGTCCGAGACAAGTTGGCAAGAGTTGATTCGAGCGATCCGGATTATGATAAAGTCATAACCCTAGTTTAGCGATAGAAAAACCGATAATCCGGAAAATTCTCCACCGCTTAAGAGGACTACAAGAGCTAAGTGACCTCGAATGACGTGAAATAAGTACCTACAATCGCGAGATGCCGGTGGGGCTAGCGCGTTCTAGGCGATTTAATGTTAAAGTTTTGTAACGCTGTTTACGTAAATGGTTTTCTGTAAATACTTGTTGAAATAGTTTTTGTTTGGAGACTAGTATTTTTAATTGTATGATAAAATAGTTGAAATAGTTACCTATCTACATATTTGATAAATTATAATGGCAAAAAGTCGTTCCTACTATTATTGTTGAGTGAATGGATGCTTAATGAGCATACAAAAGGATTCAGATATATAATTTTTTAATATCGTGCCGTAGGAAGGAGAAAATACGCAAAGTATTAGGAACACTCGCGCGCAGCGATAAAGTTTTATTAAGCTTGCGTGCGCGATTTATATATTGAACTAAAAACACTATTACGTTATTATGTTGCTTGTAGAATAATCTGACAAAAATCAGAATGATTGCATGTATATTAGTATGGTTTATAATCGTTAAAATAACAATTTAAATACCTAGGGCATATTCACGCCGACGACCTTAAAGATGATCTAGACAAAGAGAGGGAGCGTAGGGCTTTGGCGATACGCGGCAATATGCTGGCTCGTAGATTTGACCGCTGTTCGGACAAGGTCAAAATAACCTTATTTAAAACGTATTGCCAGGGTCTGTGCATAGGCGGTATGTGGATTAGTAATGCCCAAAAATCGTTAAAAACCCTGCGAGTTCAGTACAATAACGATTTCAGGGTGATGTTGGCACTTCTCCGCTTCTGTATTGCCTCTGGCATGTTTGCACAGAACCGAACAGACGGTTTTCATGCCGTAGTTGGGAAAAAAGTGGCGCCGCTGATGGGAAGGATAGGAGAAGTGACAACAGTATTCTGATAACGGTGGCAGATGATCCGTATGCGCCTATTGTGCGTACGATGACTCACAGTGGATGACAATTCTTCTAGGTGTCGACCGCACGGAGTGCCTCTTAGGTACATGACAAATTAGAATTTAATTTAATCTAATTTAATTTGATTTAGTTTGATTTAATTTAATTCTAATATAATATATTTTAATTTAATTTTTTAAAATTTACACTTAGTTTTTTAAGCGTTAATACGTAATACATAATACGTAATGTAACCATAGATCTTTGTTGTCTGAAATAAATGAATTTGAAAATAAATTTTTAGAGGTATCTATGTGATTCGTTTCTATCATTTCAAATTAGTAGTAACATGTTTTCAACACACAAATGTATATTTTTCTGATTTTGTTCACTGAAGTGGATCATATATTCCGCGGAGCAAATTCAAAGAGGAGACGGCCTAAGCAACTGTGCACTGTGATTCTAACGAAGTCCTGACGTCATCACAGTGGGCGAGGCTTTAGTTAGTATAAGGATGAAGTGTTGTGTTTTATCGTGTAAAAACTACTCAGATAGACATCACATTTCATTTGTAAGTAATTGTATACCTAATTTATTAAAATAGTTCTAGAAAAATGTTTACGTTGGCTTTCTAATATAATTAAATATATTCGACACTAGATGGCGACACTTTGTGTCATGGAAACATGGAAAAAATATAAAGGTATTTAGAACTTAGTATTGGTAAAATAATCATACGAAGGTGCTGAAATTTGTTTTGCATTCAGTCCTAAATTTTGTGAACAGGCCGCCATCTATCATCAAGGTAGCTAAACTACATTGCAACATCGATAGCGACGAATTTTGGGAAGGTCCTTTGGGCAAGTCGAAATTGTGAAAAAATATAATTTCGTCAATTGGCGAATCCAGTCCCGTGAGTCTGGCAGAGCGTTTGCGGTTATTTCGTTACTGCGCAGTATTTTTATTAGTATTTTTTTACGTGGCAGAGCTATGCTGCAGCTATATTAGTAGTATAGTTGTAGCACAAATGGGTCGGCTCGACCGGGGAAGGACCACGCTCTTGCAGAATACCAGCGTAAAATAGCAGCTTAATACTGCTGTGTTTCGTATGGTGAGTGTAGAGAACCAGAGACCCTTTTTCATGGAAAAGAGGCATTCCATCTTAGTCCTCACGGGTGACAACGCATCTGCATTTTGATTCGCAAACGAGGATAAATGTAGATGTCTATGGGCCAGAGCAACCACTTAGCATCAGGTGGACTGTGTGCTCGTTTGTCACCCTATCCTATAAAAAAAATAACATTTGCAAAAAGAAAATTCCAAAAAAATGTTTTTATGGCAACTTGATTTTATTTTTATCTTTTAATTTAGTTTTTATTAAGAAATATCTTTTTTAAAGATTTTAAGATTAAATTCTTGTTTTGGGATTTAGCATGTATATATGCGCATATATGACCAAGTAAATATCTGTGTATATAGTTTGAATTATTTAGATCAGTGCTGTAATAATTTGTATAATAGCTATTACTTTTAACCTCGTATTAATGTAAACTTGGCAATATATGTCTTAATAATTACCTCTCCATGATCTGAAAAAGCACAATATGTATAAATATGTGCTTACCGCACAGAGATAAAGGTGGAAAAAAATAACAAGTTGCATGTTCTCTACAGCTGTAACTTTTTTCACAGTGATGTGGTACAGATATAGATGACTTTTGAACTAAAATTATCATCAAATAGTGTAATCAACTAAAACGGGATAATTGACTTTCAAATTGAACTGAAACCTCATAAATTATAATATTTGAGTTAAACGACTCCATGCCATAAAATCTGGAACCCGACAGTGAACCTTTAGAGAGCGGAGAAGAAAATTAATAAAATGGTAAATCTCTATAATTTCCTTTAATATTATAATTTAAACAAAATTATAAAAATTGGAAATAAAAAGAATTATTGAATGATGTGATCCGCAGGGGCGTAGCTAGCGCCGTATCTATGATACGGCTACGGGGCTACAGAGGCCCCGAACCTATGTAAGCAAACATTCTAAGGACTTGTATGGGACTGGATGTTGGTTTGAATTGTTTGGCGAGCTTAGTAGTTCCTAGGAGTATTTATTGTAAGTAATAACTTATAATCAATATATAATTATTATTTTAATTCAATGCGAGAGTTTTTGTTCCTTTTGTGAAAAATCTTTACCCTTCATTTGGGCTTCCCGACAAATTTTGATACCGGGCCCCTCTAAGGCACGCTACTCTACTGGTAATCCGTCAACCTAAAAATTATTGTTCCTGTCAAGGTAAAATAATAATTATTGACCGTGGCCTAGTTTCCGATATTTTCAGTTTTGATAGTTATTAATAAGAAATTATTGACTTGAATCCTACTAATATTAAAAACGTGAAAATTTGTGAGGATGTATGGATGTTTGTTATCTTCCACTCAAAAACCGAATGTATTTTACAGAAACTTAACAATTATGTAGCTCATACACCACTGTGAAAAAACCTGTACCGCATCACTGTGAAAAAAGTTACGGCTGTAGAGAACGTGCAACTTGTTATTTTTTCCATCTTCAAGTCTGTGCGGTAAGCACTTTATACATATTGTCGTTTTTTAAGATCATGGGGTAGTAATTATCAAAATATATATTGCCAAGTTTACTATTAATCATCCTCATCATCATCATTACAGCCCTTCACAAGTCCACTGCTGAACATAGGCCTCCCCCAAGGAATGCAAAAAAGCACGGTTCTGAGCCATACTATTAATACGAGATCTAAAATAATTCAAACTATATACACAGATATTTACATGGTCACATATGCGCATACATACATGCTAAATCCCAAAACAAGAAATTTTTTTTTAGGATTAATCCTTAAAAAAAAAAATTCTTAATAACCAATCACAGCGCGATGAGCTTAGGCACCCATCCGCTGCCGGCATGCTTCGATAAGCTATGTTTCTCGCACTTATGGCTACGCATAAGACTTTTTTGTCGTATTCATTTGTAAACTTTATTCACGTCTGGGAATTGTTTAAAATCGCAAGGCGATTTGCAGGTATTATTAAAAATTTATAGAATATATCTACTATACAACGAATATATCTACTATAAATTTATAAAAATTTATA